CAGCTTCCGATCCCCGTCTTGCTTGTATTGGGAACCTGGTACGCACATACAATACTACTTTCTTTCCCCCTTCTCTGCACAAACAAAGCCCTATTCATACTTGAGTGCACGAGTGATCTCCCATGAAACTGCATCAGCCTCTGGGGTTAGACTGTCACAAGATCCATATCCTTGCCTCTTGCAATTCACTAATGCAACCTTGAACCTCTCGTTCTCTAGTGAAGAAGGATACATGACTTGCTCATCCTGGAATTATAGGTCCCGAGTTATAAAACAGAATGTCATCAGAGGAATCCTCGTCTTATGATGGTAAAATGCAGTTACTATTGAATGGGGCAGATCCCACATTCATCGATTAACCCAAACTTATGCATTCACAAGCAATAATTATGTTTGTGAAAGTCAATCTATAGCAATAATAAGTTAACGAGCATAACTAAGTTCTGATGTGCAACAGCATGATAATTGCATACTAGAAGCTCTAATTTGCGCCTAAGAAAATGTGATTACATTAGTGATTTCAGGCATTACCTCAGGCAACTCACAGAATTCATCAGGTGATATTTGAAGCAATTCCATTGCAGTTTGACCAGTGCACCATGCAAAAATTTTTGCCGTCTCATCTGCAAGGGTGATTTTCAGGTAGAAAACACGCACAACTTCAGCATCACAATTACAGTGACAGAAACTGCATTTGACTACACCGCTCGGCATTCCTTTAACAAAATGCCCACATGGAGCATGTGAAAATCTTGTAGTAACATGATAATGATCAACTTGATCAACCCAAACTCGACATATCTGAACATATGTTTGAAACAGGAAAAAAAAAGGATTAGCACATGAAAATTTTGGATGTAGAAATTAATTCATGCCCACATGAGATGTAAAACCATGATTGAAATGGAACAATTCCATTTTGTCATGATAGAGGCAAAAAGTTTGGTAGCATTTGAAAGTTGAAATTGTATTCATGAACAAGAAACCAACGTCATCAGCAATCCATACATGCATAGAGCTCCTCTTGGTTGAGAGATCAGAAAGGCGTGATAGCTTGTGAAGACATGACGAGTTTAGTAACGCTGGCAAGCAACTAAGGTTGATGAAAGAAGCTCCAACATCCTTCTCAAACCATGATACTTCAAAGCTGTCAAGCAAAAGAAGCAGCCACATTACGAGATGCTTACAAGATGGTCCTAAACATTGGGCAAGCAGCAAATTAACCATGAACCTCAGTTCAGGTGAATAAGAACTATATATAATGATGTACAATTGTCAACTAGTCTTAACTGGACAGACACTATTAAGATAGATTGATAACTTTTCTCATATATGCTCACCGATTTTGTTTTGTCTTAGAGCACGTCAAGCCAGAAATATACACCATGTGTCCAGGGCTTACTCTTCGCAATGACCTGAGAAGTGTATTATAAAGCAATGAATAAGAAGGGCAAGTGATAGAACAACTGCTATAATTCCATAAATTTAAGTAAATCTTGTGGTACCAAGATTGAGAGAAATGTAGCTTTGCCCAAATTCCTCCAGTCACATCCTCAATTTTTAATGAGAAAATAACTTCTGCAGTATTTGTTTCCCGAAATATGTCTGTAACCACACCATAGAGACTGATGCCAGTCATCTTATCCCGGAGGTCGACTACAAATGACTGCAAAACTTTGACAAAATGTGAGAGACTAATATTATGCAATTAAATGCAAAATCAGTACATAACAACATATATCATGAGGCGAGCAGCTGTGGAACAAGGATTTCAAATGATCTATACCATTGCATTTGAGTAATTTAAAAGGCCAATATTTGTGGTTTCTGAAACAGAAGAAAATGTACTAACCTGAAAAGGATAATTGCTGAAGTCAATAGACCCTTGAGAATCACAGGGTAAGATCACTTGAGAAACTCTGGGACCTTGAGTGGGATCAACTGTAGCAGGCAGCCTTGATCCTTGATTACAATGTTGCGTCGATGATAGACAAACCTGAGGCAAACAGAAGTTAACCCTACATTCTAAATGACAATTAAATCAGGTCACATGATAACAGATAACTCACTTGTTCCTCATGGTGAACAAAAGGTACTAAGTATAATTGTGTTGCAGTTCCATATTCTAGACAAAGCTCATCACTTGTTTCAACAGCACTATCCACTGAACTAGCAATATATGGTCTATCCAGTGCAAGCATGCTTCCAACACTGCCAAATATTGTGTCATAAACTTGAATACAAGAAAAAGCAACATCAATATAGTTTCCAGTGCAAGAATTACCTGAAAAGATTGGCTAGGATTACCTGCTCATTCCACAAGAGAAATTTTAGTTTTACTCCGTCATTATCTATAAGAGTAATTTGCTTCCTCTGTAAACTACCACATTTTCCCAGAATTTCCAGTGATCCGATAGATTCAATCCTATCAAGAAGATCAAAAGAAAAAGATATCCCTCAGAAACAATAGCCATAACTCAACACCCACTCATGAATTGTTAAAGCAATGAGCCTGACGTAATCATACTTGGTTTGTTATAGATTACATTATGAGAAAACAAAAACCTAAATCAGATGGGAATTAAGTCGAACCTAGTTTGTAACACTAAACCTAGCATACCATTGAATTAAAGTTAAATGAGATACAACAAATATGAAAAAAAAAAAAAAAGGACAGATTATCATATCTGACCTAGCATATAATGAATAAGAAACATCATTCTTGACTGCATCAAGAGAAATGGAGGAGAAAGAATCTGAGCAAAACTGCGCTCCTATCAGGATCGCATCATCATCCAGATCCTGCAAAACAAACAAAAAAGAACTTATAACCTTCAGGGAAAAGGAGAAAAAGAAATGTTGAAAGCAAAGAATATTCCTAAAACCAGGTATTATTCAGAACTTTGGCATACTTTGATCATATATTTTCATTGAAAATCATAGATCACACTTAGCAAGTTACCTCATCCAACAATATAACAAGATATTCCGTTGGCAATAACCGTGGGCTACCAGATCCTTCTCTGGCAGTTCGAAGATAGCAACCTGTGACAAAAACCTCCCTCTCTTTCTTCAAAATCCCGTTGGGAGTATCCACCAAGTCATAGTATCTACAAAGATAATTTCACAAACTTATTGGCATCACTGCGAATTCATAGATTACATCCAATGTACACAAGAAAACAGCTGTACATAGATAAGTCATGCATATCCAAACAAGCAACTTGATACACTTACCTACGATGAAGATAAAGATCAATGGTTTTGGAACTCCAATAATCCCCCAAAGTAAGCATGTAAATATTAGTACCTAAAACAAAAGAGAGAGTTAGCAATGAAAACGAAAACAAAGGCATCGATACTGATTGGCATCATCGACATGAAGCTCTAATTGTGAGTAGCTACCTGGAAGAACAAAAGCGTCCACAATCACAGCTTCCAAAACGCTACTTAAGGACAAGAAATTCTTCTCATATATAGAGTCAATTGTAACCATGTTCGGAAGCTTCGTTCTCCTATGTTTCCTTTTCAGCTGATTTATAATCTCCGGCCTTCTCTTCAGAGCGCCTGCCCTGTGTTGCTCACTCCACGCCTTGGAGACAATCAACAGATCAAAGATTTAATAAAACAACCAACAGAAATTGAAATATAGCAAAAGAACTCTGGATCAATAAGTTATAGGCTATAGCTACGAAAGGAAACAGCGATCACAAATTTAAAGTTCTAAGAATTTCGATTCCTTTTTATTAATGTAACAATCATCTAAACGACTAAAAATAGCACATAATAGATAGATAAATTTAACAGGAAAACTCAAAGGAAGCAAGAGAATGGGACTATGAACTCTACTTGATCATTCTAGATTTTCAAAAATAATTAAACCTTGAAACTGTTAGTTCCTTACTTCATTTCATTTCTTAACCATCAATTTGTAGGGAACTAAATGAAGCAATTCAGCAAAACTGAAAAAAAGAAGAAGCGTACAGTAAGTACAGTACCTGAGAGAGATCGGAGAGCAGAATAGCAGCAGTGACTCCACTTGAGTAAGAAACACAAGTTTTGAGGATCCGAGACACGGTCCAGCTCCACCCGGACCCACTATTACCCTCTTCATTTCCACTCGGATCGTCGTCTTCATCGGGGGATAGCACCGACCTCGCGTAATCGATAAACGCGAGAAACGGATCCTCTTCTTCTTCTTCTTCTTCTTCTTCTTGTTTTTTATCGTTATCGATTTCCATTGGCGAAGCTCCGTTTGAGAGAGTCATCGGAGAATTTCTACAGAATCTAAACGGCGAGGGAATTTGTTAAATTCGTTTTGGGAGGGAATTTTGAGAAATTGTACGTTTTCTTTTTTCTTTTACTAATTTGTGTTCTTTTTCATTTTCCTGTGTTATGGCGCGGTTTGGAGGGGTCGCGAAAACTAGGGCGAGAAATAATTGGGTAAACTCGAGCATACGCGTCATTTCGTAAGCCCTATCAACGAAAAACACGAAATGGGCTTGGATGACATTCCAGCCTTTTAGCGATTTGGATTTCTCCATTGAAGCCGCTTTTTTTTTTTCCTATTATGTTATATTTGTAAATTGAATTTTCAATTTTGACTATTATTTTGTTATATTAAAAATTTATTTTTCATATATTTTTATTTTTTATATTAAAAATCATTGAATATTTATATTATAAATAAGTTCAAATTTTAATATAATATATATATATATATCAAAATCAAAACTTTTATCATAATTTTTGTAAAATTAAAAAAATGAAACATTTAGAGGCAGGGGGTAAATTTTGCAGCGAGCATATAATCAACATTAGGCACATCTTGGTTCTGGCTCTAGCATGAACCCAATACCAACCCTCTAATTGTCTTAAATAATCCTTGAAGAAAACTCAATCTTATCATCTAATTGCAAATGCTTTCTATTAATACTAGATCAAAAGGCTAATGTTATCACATCTCTGTAACCAATGAAAGAGATGGTAAGTAGGCCAGTAAAAACAATTGCCATTGAGGCATAATATTGCAAGTGATGTCTCAGATTGATTGATCAGAATATTACATCCTCAGTTTGGCAAAACATACAACATACCTGATCAGAATAAACAGAATGATGATATAAAACGTGTATGTGACTTAATCGAAAGTTGTATTTGCACTCTAAAAATGAAACCTAAACTTTGCTAACCCGAACTCAAAACTCTCGAAACAACTCATTGGTCCTCTTCCCCTTCAAGTGAAAAAGAGTACAACCATAGGGGAAGTGAAACCGAAATCAAGTGTGAAAAAGGTGCAGCCTCATTACAAGGTTGGTGATGGAAATCTCAACAACATTTCTCTTGAGGGCCATGATGCATGTAGACAAATCTATACGGTAATGAAAAGAAAACCTCAAATTTCCTGTTGCAGCTTCACATCAATGATCCCCATTGGAGATTTAGGCTGATAATGTTCATTGGTATCAACCTCTTCAATTTTCCTAAATGCCAAACGCACAAGGTTCCATGTTAGCATAAGCCAAATCATACAAAATCCAGCAAAACAAATCCAGATTACATACAAAAGAAAATGTTCTTACTTGCACCACGTCTTCACCCTTGATGACAAGTCCTAACACAGACAGTTTATCATTTAAATCTGGTATTGGTGCAGTTGTGATAAATAGCTGAAATGCTTTGCTATCTGCTTTAACTTTTGTAGTTCCAAGCATAAAAGCCTCATGTTCTGGACTGATTAGTCACGAGAAAAGATATTAAGTTATCTGAATGACAACATGAAACCAAAGGCAAACAAATATGCCAACAAAAAGTACATTCCAGATGACCTTGTGGTCAGCTGACCGTGAAGCTTGCCTTTTGATGTCCAGTCTTCAATGCCTCCAAGGCCTTGTGGATGCCCTCCTAGAATCACCTAGTCTTTTATCACATGGCGAAAAGGCATCCCTTTGAAGTGTCCTTTTTGACAGCAAAATCAGTCAATTTCAGGATCTTTGATAAGCATTTAGATATTGACTTATATTAGGCAGTGCAGCAAAAATTTGAGTGTCATCTATTCCACCACAGTAATCTTAATTGTCCACAACAGACAATGATGGATTCAGAAAGTTCAAGATAGTGGAACGTTTTCCAGAAAGTTGTGAATGAATTGGCATTCAGTAAAATAAATCACCATATTTTCAAATTCAGGTCATACGTATCAAATAATTCAACAAGAAAAATTCTAAGACTCCTCTTAAAACAGTAGCAGATTTAGTGTTTGTACCTTAAAATTGCAGAGAGAACATCAGATGAAACAAGAAATATTTGAGTGTAATACAGACCAGAGAAGAAGACACATCATGCTGTTACATAGTTACAACTATGCCTACTTATAGTCAGCAAGCATATAAAAATGGTTGCAGTCACAAATATACTCAAAAGGTAGACAGATTGACAAATTAACCTATGGCCACTAATGTAAGTTCTCCCAAATGGATAAAAACAAGTTCTTCTTCCATGAAGGACATAGAGGAACTCTAACAGCCATCTCCCAAAAGATTATAAGAACCGAACAAGAAGGCAAAAAAAAAAAAAACTCTTGTTATCTTTCTAAAATCTAAATAATGGTGCAACGGAGCATTCAGTAAGATGGAAATCTACAATTATAGCGTCAAAAAATTATAGATCACCTGCTAAGGCTTTTGATTCGAACAACCTTTTCTTATTGTTGACCGTTAAACAAAATAAATCTTATGAATCATGTTCCCACTAATCAATAGCAATAAGCAAAAAGTATTAAAGATACCTGGAGAGTTACCATAAGTCAAGAAATTTGTCCACGGTCTCAGTAGAACCATCTTTGAAGAGTTCTATGGTAAGATAGCCTTTTGATGTATTAAGAACCTACAGAAGGGAAATGATTTCTACTTAGTAAAACGGGATTGTTAAACAACTAAACAGGATTTATGCATTTGTACATTGACAAACTAACAGCATATCCAGGAAGATCATATTTCTTCGAATCTACGACGTCATTAACCTGCTGAATCAAAACCAAAAGGCAAAACATAAGTTCAAGAAAACACCCATCACCTAAAAGTCTAGCAGAAAACCAAAAATACCTCCAAAGTTGACAATCCACTCCCTGTTTGCCCCCTTGACCTGCAATTAACAATGAAACCATTTCCCAAGGCATTGAATTGTGGATTAATTTCAGAGGAATTGACAAAGATGTAAAAGAACAAGCAACATGGATTAGACTGGAATAGCAAACCTTTGTAACCAATGCCTGTAAGTGGCAATTAACCACAATACAATCATCAGAACAAATATATTGCAGAAGAGAATCGTGGTGACACTTGTACGAGTTGGCCCTTTCTTCTTTTTGCTTTGAATTAACAGAACCTGAGGCTTTATCATTGCCATGAAAGTTTAGCTTCTTTATACAAAGAAATCCTGTAAATTTCAAAAGCTTCCAATACCCAAACAGAAGAACAGAAAAACTTAGTTTTAATTAGACCTGTCAATATGGGCCGGGCCGGCCCATCCCGGCCCTAGCCCTTGTGGGCTGAAAAAATATGAGCCGGGCCGGGCCAGTCCATATTTTATATGAGCTACAAAATGTTCAGCCCAGTCCAGCCCTTACTAGCACATGGGCCGGGCCGAGCTAGCCCTGCCCCCATCCTCCTGCTCCCACGAGTCCCGGTTCCCCCTGCGGCCCTGCCCGCCCCCTTCCGGCTCCCACGAGTCCCTGTTCCCCCCTGCGGCCCTGCCCGCCCCTCCGGCTCCCAGGAGTCCCGGTTCCCCCTGCGGCCCTGCCGCCCCCTCCAGCTCCCACGAGTCCCGATTTCCCCTGCGGCCTGCCGGGCTGGCTCGTACCAACCCGTTTAGGCCCGATTTTAATACGGGTTTAAATTTTTAAGCCCGGCCCATCCCATATTTTAAAAAAAATGAGCTGGTCCGACGGCCAAGCCCATTTTGACAGGTCTAGTTTTAATCACAGCAAAGTAGATCCATAACTTCGCTTGAACCAAAGATTTTTTAGTATGACTAACTTCACACTCAGCTCTGCAAAATTCGATTATGCTGCTTAAGAGAAATGAAAGCTTTGGAAATTGATCTAGCTTGGCTACTTGTTAAAAGGTGTAATTTGAAAGACTTTCTGCGACGTTTGGTTTTAATATTTTCTAATCAGAGATTAGGTTATAGATTTTTTTGGTTGTGTTCGGTGGTGGTGGGCCATCACTGTAGAGCAGTTCCTCGCAGGAAATGGTGGTGCCAATTTGCGTCTACGTGTCGAAAGCGACGGTTGTGATCGCGTCAGAAGGTTGATGTTGGCCGGCTGGAGAGACGGCGTTTGCCGGTTCTCTGCTTTACAGGTCTGATTTTGTTTTCCTTCTCTCTCCTTGATCTTTTAAGCGCGAAACGCTGTCGGAAGAATTTGAATGGGCTCGCTTTCTCGCTGGACGATAATGATGATTTAGTTTTTGAAACGGTAGGGAAGGTGATCGAACGCCTGGAGTTTCTTGATTTCCCGTGGGGCGAAGCCTTAGTGTGCATAGGTAGACCTGTCAAAATGGGCTTGGCCCATCGGTCAGTCTATTTTTTAAAAAATATGGAGAGTCAGGTTTAAAAATTTAAACCCATATTAAAACCGGGTCTAAACGGGCGAGGGCTGACCCGGGTTGGTGCGGGCTAGCCCGACGGGTCAAAAAAAATTAAACTAATTCGGTAATTCCTAAGTCCTACCCGCCCGGTTACCTGACTCCCCAACTCCCCAAGTCCCGACTCCCCAACCCCCTTTCTTCTTTCTGGAATTTTGACTTTTTCGATCTTTCACGGTAAGTCGCCGCCGGACTGTGGGGGGGGGCAGGCGGCAGGGGGGAACCGGGAATCAGGACTCGTGGGACTGTCAACTGTGGGGAGGGGGCAGGGCCGCAGGGGGGAATCGGTAATCACCCAAAAGGACTCGTGGGAGCCGGAGGGGGCGGGGCAGGGCCGCAGGGGGAATCGGGACTCGTGGGAGGGGGGCCGGGGGAATCAAGTCGGGGCCGTCTGGAGTCGGGGGGAAATAGTAGGGGGCGGGCCATGGGCGGCTGAGGTAGTCGGGCGGGGGTCCATGGATGAACGTTCGGTGTTTCCGTCGGTTGGGGGGAAAGGATTCCCCCTTGAAAAATGGGCTAGCCCGGCCCAGCCCATGGGCTAACAAGGAGTGGGCTGGGTTGAACATTTTGTAACCCATATAAAATATGGGCTAGCCCGGCCCTGCCCATATTTTTTCAGCCCACAAGGGCTAGGGCCGGGTTGGGCTGGGCCGGCCCATATTGACAGGTCTATGCATAGAAGTTACTAGTATTATTAATGAAGCAATAAAAAGTATTTTTCAAGGTTTATATTTGATGTATTATATTATATATTATAATGAATTAAATATTATTATTTTACAAATATATAAATTTAAAAATTGAACATTTTAAAAATAGCTTAAATATTTATATTGATACATTTATATAATGATCTTTTGTAATTAAATGATAATGTATAAGTTCTATATGTGCATTCTTTGTTAAAAAACACAATTTTTTTTTTTGTAATTTTAAGTATGGCATGATTTGTTTACAAAATTGAGACGTACAAATAAAAATTATTTGTTTATGAACAAATTTATGTAATTGGATTAGAGATGTAATTGAGTTGATATATTATTAGAACTTGATCGACTCTTTTTATTTTTATACTTAAGTTCATAACTATTTGAGCTTGATTTAATTATATTTGATCATTAATCATTAAAATAATGAATTCATATTTAAATTTTGATTCAATTTTGAGTTTGAAAATTTTTAGATAAATTTTATAAATTGTTACGTAGATTGTATAAATATATAATATACTTGAAAACAAAGCAAATATTTTAGGCTCACAATTTGCTCTAAGTATTAAGATACTTAAACTTGGCTCCACTTTCTATTTGAATTCGAACTAACTTGATAATGAATAAGTCGAGTTCAAGTAACTATATAGTAAGTTAAATATTGATTAGTTTAAACATGTGCAACAAAATTGAAGAATGATTGTGGTAGATTAATTCAATAACCTAACATTATATTCCCATAAATACATTATATTTTCAAAACGATAAGGCTACAAAGTCAATTTTTAGATCAAATACAAATCAAATTTTTTTTCAAAAATGACACCTTATAGTAACAAAAAGTTAATTGAATTTTTCTATATGCTTACGTTACTGTTTAATGATTTAAAATTTTTTTAAAAATTATATTTTTTCTCTTTAATAAGTATTTACTTTATTTCTTGCTTTCATTCTAACATTTATGATCTTATTTGATTAAGGACGGTTTTTTCACTTTCTTATTTATTAAAAAATTAAAATTTTATTAAATAACTTTGTAAGAAAACCAGGCAAGGATAAAGAATTTCACACCGTAGCAGAGGTTTTACAGAGAGAGAAGGGAGGGAAGAATGAGAGGGAGGGTGATAAAGACGGAGATCAAGCTTGAAGATTACGAGCATTTCCTTGAGAATCCTTACGATGATGCTTTCAGTTACCAGCAGCTTAATCAGGTTACTATTCTCTTCCATTTCCATTTCCAATTTCATTTTCTTTTGTTTTGTCGTCCATTTGGCTCCCCGGAAAAGAAAATCATGAGACTGACAAAGAAAATCTCTACTTATTCTTTTCCTTTTGCGTTTCTGTTTGGTTCCATAACAAACCTGAGAAAAAGTAAAACTAACAAAAGATCTACAGTTCCGTCTCAGGAAAGAGCAATGATTAGAAGAAAAGTGACCAAAGAAAAAGAATTGATTAAAAAGAAAAGTCTACCACCTTCTTTTTCTTCATTTTTTCTTTTTTTTTTTAATAATTTTTTCCTACAAGTGTTTCTCTGATCTCACGTTTTGAAATGTGTTCACAAAAGATCATCTACATGCACGGATTCAAGAAGATTCACAAGCGCCGCAAGGTAAATTTTCTCCGCAAAAAGCTTTGATTTTCTCGCGAATAAATCGGTTTCGTTAACTCATCATGTCTCTCAGGCTGACCTGTACGAAGCGTTGAGCACCATTGATCTGATAAAGCCACAGCGCTCAACGGTCACGGACGATTATCCACCGTACGATGATTCTGCTCTATCGCTGGATCAAGTCAAGCAAGACCTGCAAACTCTGCAGTGGCAGGAGTGTCCTGTACAATCAATCCATGCCGTTCATCCAACGATGCAAGATAATCCAGCTACATCCAGTTGCAGTGATGGCGTCTCTAGAGGCAGCGCCGTATCATCCTTCACCATCCGCCGTAAACGGCAGAGATCGGGGAGGAGGAAGAGAATGAGTGCCGTGGACCGTGGAGGCGTTGAACAGGGTAACGTTACCGTTGGCATTATGAACGGCGGCGTTGAGTCTGGCGTGTCACGTGATCATGATGCTGTTCTGATCCAGCCTGAGTCCTCTTCGTTATTTGTTGATACGTACAGCTGGGACTTTTGATTGGATGGGGCTAATCCACTTGTCCAGTTGTCATTAGTCTATAAGTTTTTGGCTTTTGTGGAACACCGTACTTGATACTTATTGTAATCATCAATTTTGTTTTCGGGTTAAATTTTTTCACCTTTTTACCTATTTTACTTTTCCACAGAAGGAATGTAAGTAGTTAAGATTAGGAAAAAAAAAAATACGAAAATGATTAGAAATTTGGTTGAAAATATATTTATTTTCATTAATTTGAAAAATATTCTTTTATTCTTATTTCTTTGAAATATTAATGGTCTTAATTTTCAAATTAATTTTAAATGAAAAAATACACAAACTTATTTATTATTTATTTCATATTTTAATTTTTATTGACCGATTTGAATTTATAAAGTTCTAAGTTGGTATAAATAGTTGAGATGAATATAACCAATGGCATTTTGGCAGAATATTTTTTCAATTATTTCAGTAGTAATTGAAAGGCTAAAATGGAAGTATATATATACCTTGCTAAGGGCTAATGTTTAGCATGCTATAAATAAATGATGTGTACCTCAAGCGCAATAAGAATTCAAGATTATCTTTTTTAAAATCAAATAAAATAAATTTATTATTATAAAAAAATAAAATTATTGATATTTGAATAAAATTAAGATACACATATAATTAGAGAAATATAATATTATCTGTTAAACTCACCTGAAATACAATAATCAAAATAAATATATAATTTTCACTCCAACACTACTATTAAATATAAGTCACTTACATTTGTTTTGAATGTGTAGTTGATTTTTCTGTCCTCAATAAAATGATTTTTTTCGTTGTATGTTGAGTAAAGATTGTGATGCCGTTAAAAATCTTTAGTAAACTCGAATCGACATTAATATAATATAATTTTTAATTATTTATGAAATTTATTACTTTAAAAAAAAATATCGATGTAACATGATCAGTATAGAAATAAAAAAATTTGTTCATGTCACTTATGATATTTAATATAATCTTTTTTTCTAAAGCGCAGTCCATATATACGAGAAAAGGGGGTTTACAAAAGATATGTGATTGTTTTGTGCTGTAGATAATATTTGACATGATGGTGTATCTTTTCTTCTTCCATGTTGCATGGAAAATCCATGTTCTGGGCCTATGGAGATTCCACCACGTCAAAAGCTGCTGCCAGAAAAATGTTTGAATGGGGACTTAAAAGGACAAAAAAGAGAGCAATAATAAACTGCAAGACTACTTTGAAACAGCAGCTTCGGGATGTGATTTGAAACTGGCAAATCACAAAAAAACACCAAAGCAATTGTAAGTGTAAACTGCATGATTGACGATGCTGATGATAATTCATATGTATTCTCCCTCAGGCCCCTGCCCCTAGCCTTTTCACATGGGATACTCGCATAGAGGTTCTGGTTTGCCCCCATTTCGAGTAGATGCGGTCGGTTAACAGCGAATATATTTAACAGCAAGAAACAACAAGCTGAATAACAACATCTGAGTGACTCGGACTTTAGCATTGTGGCACTTGAGCTTAGCCGACAATCTCTTTTGGAAGCCTCAACAACAGATAAGAGAGCAAAGATAAAGATTTAACGTACCATATTTTTTCAGTTTACAAAAAGCTGTTGCAGGGAAAAGATGCATCAGAATGTATGTAGGAAAGTTGCAATCATCTTATGTCTTGACTAAGTAAGGAAAAGGGATTAGTACTGATGAGAGAAAAAGGATTCATCCACCAATATTGTACGTAGGGAAAAGGCTGATTAAGACTTGAGAGGGATGGTAGTTAAGGTTTTGAACTTCATTGATATAGAACTTTGATAAGGTAATGTTTGATATCAATATTTCAAGATCATCATCGTAATTTAATCATGATGGTGATGTTGCCTTTAGACATAACATTTGCATATATAATGAATGTTCTACGTGAACTTTTCTATGCTGCTCTCAAGAGGGAAGATAATTAAGTTTTGGTAATTCTTTCACTTTGAATCTTATTGAGTTGGATTTTATTAATGTAGAATTATACTGAGGCAAAGTTTGGTGTCATTTTCTAGATTATTACTGTAATTTAATTATCGGTGTTATCTTTAGACGTGATATTTGTTTATATAATTTAATATTTTTTGTAACAGTTTACAAATTGAATGTTTTAAACTCTTCTCAGTCTATGCAGTCTGGGGACTAATATTTGGATGGCAAAGCAGGGATTCGATGATGACAGGATGAACTGAGACAACAACCAAATCATAAACTAATTAAGAAGCTGCTTTTCTTTCTTAAGTCATATGCCTTCTAGTATTGATACTGGGGGCGCATGTACATAACTATTGAGTGAGCGAGCTGTCCTTCAAATTTGAACAGAAGAATTGGGAGAAATGACATGGAAATGTATACAAAAACATGTGACTGATTACAAAGATTGAGCGAATCACTTGATGACACTATTGGTCCATTTTTGTGGTGCAGGCCATGTAGATGGTTTACCACTTATTGTACTTGCTAAATAAGAAAACGACTCTCTGAAACACTGCCTGCAGCTTTCTTTCACTCCACCAGTAAATTATAAAACTACCTGGCAAATTTGCTCACAGGAATCAGAAGATCACACCCTCCAAAAGATGCATCAAGTTTTCATGCAACTTGATGATGTGGAGTTCATAGAACTCGGAGGAGAAAATAGGGCGGGAGAGAGTAAAAAATCTAATACAATTCTGTAGTATATAAGACTGAAAGTGATGAGGTGCTTGTGGCAGTTAGCCCATTCAAGAAAGATTCAGTCATCGAAAACTTTACTTCCCAACTTAGGCTGAAATCCAACTTGTTTCTTTTACCCAAGGGGCAATGGTTGACAACATAGAAGATAAGGTTCTGGTTAGGGAATTTGATGATGGCAGAGATATTGAAGTGGTGGGGAAGCTTCAGAAGAACTGTGAGATAGGATCTAATAATAAGGGGGCATCCATTTTCACAAACATGACGGGTGACCCTTTGTGTAGGATTAGGTTCTATCCACTTCATCTCATGCTGGTAAGTGAACGAGAGTGATTAACCCTGGCGGTCATCATATTTTACAGTCATCTTTATCTCTCATGGAATAAACATTTCTAATGATTAATTGTCAATGTTCCTTATAATTGCTTTACTTTCTTTAAGGAAACCCATTGTCCCCATGAGGATCATTGTTGATGTAGATATAACTGAATGGCATGACGGGTTGATGTCCTTGAAAATGGCCTACAGGTAGCTGAGCTGCGTGAAAATCGGGAGCTTGTCGGAGTGATTAGAGGCTGCATCAAGCATGTGGGGACTAAATTTGGAGGAACACATGTGAAGTTGGGTTGCATCCTAGGCCTTCGAGTATCTCCCAGACATCGGTATAATTCTCTCTCAACCTTTCACTTCCTGTACAAACTTCACTGTGAGGTCACTGTTCTTTGTTTCCAATTTCATTGTCTAGCTAGGGCAAAACCTTTCATCTTGTTCAAACCAAGTTAAACACATTACAGATCAACAGGTTTAGTGGTGAGTATTGACAAGATCTCAGATGAAAATAACTAGAACTGCCCAAGTATGATCTTTCAAATAACCTTCTTCTCAATGCATTGAAAACGTTCTATTCTTTTTCCTTCTTTCTTTTTGGATGTAAAACAAACAGATGTTGACATAGAATACAGACCTTGGAAGTGTAGAATCACAATTTTAATCACAGAGGAAAATTGTTTAAGTGCTTTTGGTTAATCTTGATATTGATCTTGATGAATTGAAAATTGACGAGTAAATCAATTAGTATATATTTAGGATACTACTACATTATTTGACCCTATATTCCAGTGATCTCAACTTTACCTGAGACCTAACCTAACTGCCATTGAGGTGATTGCAAGCTGCTTGGACTAAGATTCCTTTTCAAGCAGTACTTTTTCCTTCATTTGTTTTTATTCTTTTTTCCCTAAATGTATCTAAAAAATCCTATTTATAACTAAGATGATGTATAAATTTTCCTTTTTAAACAAATGTAGGCGAATGGGGATCGGATTAAAACTTGTGAGAGCAATTGAAGAATGGTTGATAAACAATGGAGCACACTATACTTTCCTGGCAACAGAAAAGAATAATGTTGCCTCAACAAATCTTTTCACTGCCAAATGCAATTACAGAAACTTAAGCTCATTGGTCATATTTGTTCAACCAATCATCAGTTTTGCAATGGAGGGTCTCTCTCAAGATATCAAGGTAGAGAAGTTGAGTACAGACCAAGCACTTTCTTTGTATGATAACAAGCTCCGAGGCAAAGACATATATCTGACTGACATTGATGCAATCCTGAAAGAAAAGCTGAGCCTTGGCACATGGGTATCTTATTTCAAACAAGATGAATGGATAGGTTTGCATAGCAAAGAGAAGGATGAAGATATTATCAGTACAAGTCCACGCTCTTGGGCCATGTTTAGCATATGGAATTCTTGTGAAACTTTCAAGATTCATATCAAGAAGTCCCATCCACTGAAGTTTTTCCATGCAACTTTAAGCCATGCAAGAGACAAGATCTTCCCGTGCCTCAAAATCCCAATATGTGATTCACTTGAAAAACCATTTGGTTTCCTTTTCCTTTATGGACTTCATGGAGAGGGAGCGAGGCTTGGGGAGCTCATGAAATCTGCATGGAGCTTCGCGTCAAGATTGGCTGAAAATGTGAAGGACTGCAAGGTGATCATAACTGAGCTAGGATTCTCTGATCCTCTCATTGAACATGTCCCCAATGAATCATCTATGTCACGCATCGATGATCTCTGGTACTTGAAGAAAGTGAATGGCTCCATCCATGAAGAGAATGACCTAGGGATGATGGGGGAACTGGGAAATGTGGTTGTTGATCCAAGAGACTTTTAACTAGCTAGGGTTCCTTTCTAAATATAAACCTTTATTGTTCATGGGTTTTTGTTTTTTCTCCAAAATAAAAAAACTACTACCATGTACTTGTTATTAATTAACTGCAATCATTTATCATCTGTATCCTTAATGAAATTTTCTAGTGGAGCTGAAGAGAAATTCAAACTTTGTTCTTGGATTCATAACCCTAGCCCCCTAACCCCTCGTATTACCACAACTCATCAATGCAAATACACGCATGCAACAAACAGACACTGCTATAAGTCCAGGCTATCCCGGATTACAATCTGCTCAAACCCATAACTTTATCTTGGTGGAGGAGTCATACTCTTCCTGTCAATTCTCCTTCTTTGGTGGGGGTGAAAGAAATGAATACCGAAAGTTTGATCAAAGTAGGGCCTTGAGGAAGTTGTAAAGGAGAATTTTGGGATGAGAAAGGTCATTCTGATATCACTGAAATATATATTTCCTATGGGGGAGAGATCAATTCTATCAAATTTCAGTACGTTGAGAATGAAACCCTAATGATGTCTGCGCTTCACGGGCAAAATATCGGTCCAAAGTTCTATGTTGTAAGGTCTTATAAGCCTTCTCCATTGAGAAAGGCTCAAGTTTATACAATCATCGAGGTTTCCTCTCAAAATTCTTTCCATGTAAATCTTAGCAATGTTAAGATTCTGATCAATTACCCAATTTTTTTTTATTCTTTTCCTTGAACATGGTTAGAACAACATAATTAATTAACGAAACACATTTTATAAAATGATGTTACTTATCAAAGACTATAGACAAATGCCAACAAAATCCATCTTTCGTATGTGGTGTTTTAACTATATACATGCAGGTATATATTCTATTAATTATCCATCCGAGTTTATTACTGGGATAGCCGGGGCTTGGAGTACCAATAGTCTCCTTTTGCTGACCTTTATCACCAATAAAGCAAGGCATGGACCCATTGGTTGGCAAGGATCAACTGGGCGGTGGTCGAAGTTTTTTAATTAAGAATTAGATTTTAACTTGGTAATTTACGTGGATTTGGTAGTTTTTACGGGCACTTTAAGCAGGTTTATAACGGAAGCAGGCCTTACCTCACTTCCCTGGGAGTGCATGTGAAGCCTGGTTCAAACCTGGGAAACATAGTAGGAAAGGGAAATGTGTTGGAATAATGCATGGAAATGAGTTGTTCGACTATTGGAAATGCAAGAATTATTATATGAAGCACAAGTTCTAGTGAGTCTTAGTTATCAGGCCTTGCAAAAGCTTTTCTTAAGTATATTTCATGACTATAGTTTGTGAAGTGCACTATATATTCAATGTCAATAACCATTTTACTTGTGCATATCTGAATCCTTATAGGCTCTACATTACCCACTTTTAAAAAATTAATTTATTTAAATGTTTAATGTCCATATTTATAAACGTTGCAAAAATATTCTAACCTAACGTAGAATTAAAACTATCTATCTACAACTTCTTCAGAAGCTCCTAAGTTACTACTCAGCTACTTCCTACTATAAAATCCAGGAATGTGGCCCAGCCCACCCCTGATTTCAAGCTGCCCATAGATTCAGAAGATATAAGCTGTGAGGCCGATTTCCTTTTGATGGGTGGTAAAAAATGGAAGACTCCCATCCATTGAAGTTTTTCCATGCAACTTTAAGCCATGCAAGAGACAAGATCTTACCGGGCCTCAAAATTCCAATATGTGATTCACTTGAAAAACCATTTGGTTTCGTTTTCCTTTATGGACTTTATGGAGAGGGAGAGAGGCTTGGGGAGCTCATGAAATCCGCATAGAGCTTCGCATCAAGATTGGCTGAAAACGTGAAGGACTGCTAGGTGATCATAACTGAGATAGGAGCCTAGGAGGGTCTGATCCTCTCACTGAGCATGTCCTCAATGAATCATCAATGTCACGCATCGATGATCTCTGGTACTTGAAGAAAGTGGATGGTTCCATCCATGAAGAGAATGACCTTGGGATGATGGGAAAATTAGATAATGTCGTTGTTAATAACTAGCTAGGGTTCCTTGCTAAATATAAACCGCTATTGTTCATGGGTTTTTGTTTTTCTTTTTCAAAGAAAAAAACTACTACCATGTACTTGTCATTAATTAACTGCAATTATTTGTCATCTGTATGCTTCATGAAGTTTTGTAGTAGAGCTGAAAAAGTCATTCAAACTTTGTTCTTGGATTCATAACTGTAGCACCTTAACCCCTCGTATTACCACAACTCATCAATGCAGATACATGCATGCAACAAACATACACTGCTATCTAAGTCCAGGCTATCCGGGACAACAATCTGCTCAAACACATCAGTTTATCTTGGTCAAGGAGTTATACTTTTCCTGAGAGTTCTCCTTCTTTGGTGGGGGTGAAAGAAATGAATACGGAAAGTTTGATCAAAATATAGCCTCAGGAAGTTGTACAGGAGAATTTTGGGATGAAGAAGGTCATTCTGAAATTGCTGAAATATATATTTTCCATGGGAGTGATGCGATCAATTCTATCCAATTTCAGTACGTTGAGAATGGAACCGTAAGGACGTTTGCGCTTCACGGGCAAAGCACCGGTCCAATGTTCGATGTTGTAAGTCCCCCGTGAGCCTTTTTCATCGAGCAAAGCTCAAGTTTTTACAATCATCAACGTTTCATTTCAAAGTTCTTTGCATTTAAATCTTAGCATTGTTAAGTTGTCATATAAGAAAAAATTATTCTCAATTACCCAATTTTTTGTTTTATTCCTTTACCATGGTGAGAAAAAATGAAACACATTTTATAAAATGATATTCCTTATAAAAAACTATAGACAAATGCTAACAAAATCCATTTTCTGAATGTTGTGTTTAAACTATGTACATGCAGGTAAAGCTTAATTATCCATCCGAGTTTATTACTGTGATAGCCGGGCATCGGGATGCCACTTATATCCTTACACTCACCTTTATCACCAATTTGGGAAGGCATGGACCCTTTGGTATCCGGTCGATCTATGGAAATTATGAATATAACTTTAAACTTGGTAGTTCACGTAGATTTGGTGGTTTTTGCGGGCACTTTTCGCAAGGTATTAACCAAACCAGGTTCAGGTCTCCTGAAGTTCATGTGAAGCCTGGTTCAGACAATGGAACCATAGTCGGAAACGGAGATGTGTAACGCATGGAAATGAGTTTGTTCGAGCATTGAAATGCAAGCTTCACTATTAAAGTAAAAGTTTCAGCTATTATGAATTTAGATTGTAATCAAATAGAGTTTATATCCAATGTCAACAGGCATTTTGCTTGATAATATCTGAATCCAGGATTTCAATTTATTTTATTGCTCACCAGACTGCTGTTGCTGCTCCAGGTGGCAACAGACAATTGCTATCTTCTTTTCAGAAAGTTAACTTGTTGAGGTATACAACAAATATGCTTCTGATATGAGATTGAAGCACTTTATTTGCTTCTTTTCTTGCATTTATGGTGACATAATGCCCAAGTTAGTACTATAAAATCCGGGAATGTGACCCAGCCCATCCCTACTTTTAAGCTGCGCTTAGATCCTTAATATATGAGCCCATTTCGCTTTGATGTAAATAAAAGTAAGAACTTGACAATAATGTAAATATTTTTTTACCACCAATAATGTAAGTACTAGTCTTTCTTTTTCCTTTAATCTTTTGCCTGCATCTTGTTCCTTGGTTTTGGTTCTGTTGTGATAATTTAATGCAGGGATTCGTGCTACTTCCCTCTGTTTCTTTGAAGCAATAAAATTTCAATACCCAAGAAAGGGAATCTTCAGGTTGACATGACATACTTCTTCAGGCTACACAGTCAGTTTTACACCTTGAATGTAATTGCAGCATCCTTTTTTACATTGATGACATATTATTATAAGTACTGGTTGGCTCTGAGGACATTGAGCTCAATTTTACTTGATTGTATGTCAAGCTTTGAAGAGCAGAGCCTAAACTGAAAAAACTTGGTAGGGTCATGAGCATAATGTAAATCTCCTTTCTTGATGTTGATAAATCATTACTTTGCTGCAGCCTAATTCAAAGTATATACAATATTGACATTTTTCAACATGCGGTATGAGAAAATATTCTACAGTTTCTGTGCACAGGTTGAATTGTAATGGCTAGTGAAGGAGAGACATACCATAAGCATTTCTTTTTTCCAGATTTTCGTACAGTTGTCTATGAATCATCTACTACCGTAGCTTACATAACAATAAGTATTCTAGTATGCACCTGCAAAGATATAACTGCAACTGTCATATGCTGGTTTGAGGCAAAGTCATGGTGGTTCTTTTCTGTGATCTCCACACTCTTCTTGGAGATTTGATTCTCTTAGGAGTAAAGCTTCCAGGATTTTCCATCAAAATGTCCAGTTCAGATGGGTCCAATAATAATTTATCTTTGATAAAAGCATCCAAATCTAATCCACTCTCATTTTCAATGTCAAAGCCATCATTTTGTCCAGAGGATGAGCTGACCAGTGGTTCTTGAGCACTAGTTTCATTAACTCCTGCATCTTTCAGAGGTTCCTGTGCCTTGTTGCTCGGATCTTGGTCCAAATTCAGGAGTCTCTTTATGCTGTCAAGGGCTGGATCAATGACATCTAAAAATCCCATTACCCATGAAGCATCATCCACAACTTCAGTTCGCTGTTTCATGCAACCCAAAGAGGAAAGGAAAAAAATCATTCAGAGGCTTCTCAACAGCATCATGATTCTGAGGAACTCGAACTTAAAAAGTGTATAGGAAAGCTATAAGTTTTCCTAAATTTATTAGGCAGCAGGAAAATAGATGGTTTGTTTACAGAATAATAGAACGAAGCTTAAGTAAGCATCCTGTAAGCCAATTACTGACCTGCTGGAAATAGAGGTTACGAATTTCTTCAGCACGCACAGAGTTTCCTTGGTCCTCCTCCAATGCTGCCCATGTCATCCATGTTACGTAGCTCTGAGAATTTATATTGAGCGAGGATCTAAATAACCGTCGAGCTGCTGATAAGTTACCAGCTCTCTGTTCCAAAACACCCCAAGCCTACAACAAATGGCAACTAGCTAAATGTGTGCACTATGCTTGCAGAAGATTAATTGCTAGGAGTTTAGGGCATTTAAACTTGACATCTGTATGCCTCATATGATGTGGATATTAAACTATTACCTGTAAACATCGAGCAGCACTTTCAGTTGTTGAGTCAATTGACAGTGCTCTTTGGTACAATTCCCTTGCTGTGGATATGTTCCCTTCCTTCCATTCCATCCATCCCCATGCCTGACAAGCTCAAAGTATTAGATATGGAGATGATTTCCTCCAAGACTTAACAAGGTTTAAATCAAGTTTAAGAGTTATAAAATCGGTAATACTCTTTGTTATAATGGGCTACACACACACACACAGGTACAAACCAAAGAGCTTAAAGAATTTCTTACAATCCAGACTGGTTGGTGCCTTGGGTCCAGCTCAGAGGCTCTCCTGAACAAAACTCGAGCTAGATTTGCTGTTGAGTGTTTATATTCCAACAAAGCAAGAGACTGAAGTAATACAGGATCTCTAGGATTGAGTGCATGGCCTATCTTTAAAAGTTTTCTTCCCTTGTCAATATTGCCTATATTAGCTTCAAAAACTCCCCAAACATGCCATGCAAACCTGTTCTTGGGGCTTGCCTGGACTGCTTTCTGCAGATTAAATACACATATCACAGTGATGACAGTAAAATCACAAAATTAGGTGTGTGTGTGTGTGTGTGTGTGAGAGAGAGAGAGAGAGAGAGAGAGAGCATGACTTTTCTATTTGGCTTTCATTCTGAAAGCTATAACCAAATACTATCATAATGAATAACCTTGTCAATTAGAAAGGTTTACCTCAAATAGTAGCCTCGCAGCACGATAATTCTCCTGTTGCACCTCCAACTGAGCCCATGCCTGTGTTTAATGAATTTGACACATGCAAGAAGAAAAACTTAATTAAAGCATACTTGCAACAAACAAAGTCAATTAAACTACGTATAAGCCAAGGCATACAACACTAAAGACTTACCAGCCAACTGGCACAGCTTTTTGGGTTGCACTTGGTGGCCTGCCTGAACAAGTAACGAGCCTGCTCGTACCTACTTGCTCTAGCTTCCAGCAATGCAAGGGTTTGATAGATGTACTCATTTCCACTGCAGAATTTAAGACCTTTAGCAAGCAGATGCCTTGCCTTTTTGACATTCCCCTGTTTTAGCTCTAGAACTGCCCATCCATGCCAGGCAGCAATGTGTCTCTTGTCAGCAACTGTGGCTGCGTCAAATAGTTCTCGAGCCCTTCTTATATTTCCCATCTTATTCTCCAACACAGCCCAGCACTGTTCCAAGAGTATATAATTGTTGTCAATTATGTATAAGAGGAAGAATATATAAATGAAACACAGTTCATTAAATTGATTCGTGGATCTATGACTAGTGACATATCTATGTTTAACAAAATCTTTTTCTTTGAATGCTTGCAGCAGCATGGTAGGTCCATTACACTCTCATTAAAACTAAAATCTCCATAGATTTCTGTGAAAATTCTAATTGCTTACAAACAAGTGGCCACCATAAAATATCTTCTCTGCTTCACTACATAGAAGGCAAACCGGCCTCAGTACTTGCAAAACTTTGAGTCCTCATCCCCAAGTACTATCTTACAATTCTCAAGTGGATAAAACAGGGTGTTTGCAAAACCAGGCGAATAATGATCACAGTAACCATCCTAAGACAAAAGCTTTCATCTCAGAACCGGTATCATGAGCATGAACTTGAATTTGAAAACCACAAACATCATAAAGATTCCCGGTGAAATTAAAATCAGAGATTACTTGAAATTTCCAGAAGTTCATTCCATTAGTCCCCTATAATCGTAAGTAGTATTGATAAAACAAGGCAAGAAACAGTTACGATTACTCCATAAGCAAATAATAGCAAAGGAGCAATCACATTGGCAAACAAAAGGAAAAGAATGCAAAACCTGCCAAATATAAGGATTTTCTCCTTGGGTAGCCTGGCAACCTCTCTCATACACAGCTCTCGCTTCTGCCCTTTTTGATTGCTTGCTCAATATCTTCCCTAATGTTACATATGATCTCCCATCTTCCGGCCAATAGTACATACACTAGAAACAAATTCGAAAACCCCATCATAAGGATCACCACACAATGCCACAATCCCCAACAAGCAACTTTAAGCACAAATGTAACACATGAAAAACACCAGCATCCAAGCAGCCTTACCTTCTCCAGTATCTTTTCAGCTTCTTCATAACGATACTTCCTCGCCAAGACCCTCGCTTTATACAAGGCCAAGTCCAAGTTCACAGTTAGCGGCTTTCCTAGAGAACCCCCAGACTCCACTCTTTCGGGCTCAAACATAGGCATTTTCTTGGCAAACTCCTCGAGACCAGCACCTATACGCGACGATTTCAATGCGTCATCATCACCTTCAGCTTCACCATCGTCACTCTCATCATCTTCCCTGGAAATATCCGTGACTGGCCTGCGAACGACCAGGACCTTCTTGAAAGTGTCCTGCTCGGCTTCCACAGAGACTTCCTGGTCTGCTTCTTTGTCCAGGACTGGAGAAGAGGAGGTGTTCTTGGAAGAGCATGGAGGGATCAGAGAGAGGAGGGAAGGAGTGGGGAGGCGAGTTTTGAAGGGAGTTACTGTTTTGAAGGTGAACTTGTTGGGGTTCTGGGAAGGAGAAAAGAGGGTAAAGTTGGGTTTTGGTGAGGAAGACGAAGGCGAGGAAGAGAAGAGTCGCATTCTTTCCTTCTGGTTTTTACTTCACTTGCATTTTTAACGGATAAAACTGTCTGATTTTCATGGAGGGGAACGTTAGGCGGGCACCGGGGAAGGAGAGAACAGGGTTTTAATCACCAAAATGCCCTTCTGCTTGATGATTTATAACATATTATTACCCGACTTTTTAGCCTGTATTAAAGGTTAATATGGTCAATTCGTGCTAGACTAAAGTAGATTCAGAGGATTAGGGTATATTCGTAATTGGGCAGCTCAGACACGACTGGTCTGAGACAGGCCACGTTTGCCCGCTCTTTTTCAGAGGCTCAGGTTGAGATTTCACAGGGTACGTGGAGACATTCCATTGGTGATGTAATCTGAATATCATTAACAGGAAATATATAGTACTATTTGTAGTTCTACAATCGTCGATCATCAGATCAGGGTGATGATTCCCCTGTTCTTTTCTGCTTCATAATCATAAAATGACATCTCAAGAATAATCCCAACAATTTAAATGGAAAAGCTTCCTGTCTTCTCCCTTTAATTCTTTGATGGCAGAGAAAAATTCCCATCTCACAAGAACATCATGACAGACAAGGTCATCAGCAAAATCCTGCTTAGAAATTACGGAACAGAAGTTTCTCCAAACAACAATGGTCAGAGAAGTAACAAGAACCAATTCTAGTTAAAAACAGATGGAACAATTACTCAGACAAGTAGTTAGGTAAAGATGTTGCTACTGCACCAGTTTAGCAGGTTTTAACTAATGAAATAGCTGATATATGTGGATATTAATTCACCAAAGCTTTTACAATGAAGGAAAATGTCAAAGATGAGCAATGAATCAGGTTAAGCTCACGATTCATGAGCATCAAAAATCATTTACAGTTGGAAAGACAGAACTGGAACAACTACAGAACTTTGAAATTTTGCCAGGGTTATTTTTGCAGACAACATTATTGTACATGAAAGAAACTCAATGATTAGCAAAGGAGAAAACTAAAATCCTCCTTTCACCTGAAATCAGCATGTCATTCCGAAGAAAAGCTGAGAAGACCATATCTTATTTCAAATAAGATGACGTGGAGTAAATTATGCAAAAGCTAACTTACACCCCACCGCCTCTTTCGAGCAGGCCTTTGGTGCTTAATTTCATTAGTGTCAACTACCAAGTCAACTTGGGGCTCAGAAGTCTTGTCTGGCTCCATTTTTATTGTGATGGGATCCTTAAACCGTTCCCTTCGTTTCTCCATCTTTGCTAGTGTCTCCACTATCCGTTTGTTGTCATATTCACCCACAGCTCTATTCCCATCAGAACAACTGTCAACATGCAATGTTCTCATCTTGACCTTGCTCCTTTGCACCATAGTCTCAGAAGCATTTTCCTTTTCCAGGTTAATGCCTTTAATACTTTGTTCTTCACATATAATCTGACCCTCCTCAATATCCAGATCTTGATTACACTCTGCAACTGAAAACTTATCAAGCTGTTTCTCACTATTTCAGCTACCATCCGTATTTGAGATGTCTGTCTTAACTCCGTTGCCTCGACAAGAATCATTAACATCCCTTAAAGATTTCTGCTTCATAGGAAATTCCAAGCCAATCTTTTCAAGCCTTCCATTGCATATTAAGCTTCCACCATCTGAGTGCCTCACAGAAGACTGCAGAATGTATTATAATATGGAAATGTCACAGATTATAATTTTCCATGCTCTAGACAATTTATCAAATATATATATATATATATATAAAAACAGGGGAAGGTAAGAAGTATCAGATGAAATAATGAATGCGGATGCTTATACACTGTGCTCAAGAACAAAAATTCAGGAAAAGATCAATATCAACCATGATACTACCTATGAATGTAAGAATGCAAGTAGTGCAGTGAATCATGAATGCAGAAATGTAAATCATGCAGTTGATACTAAAATAACAAGAACTGTCAAAAATAATTGTCTGCAAATAGTGACAAATCATTTTAATTGCTATTGTCACCAATATCTAAAAAATTAAAACTGTTAAACTGACACAATCAAATTACTTTGTCCATCAAAGACCAGAAAATCTGTAACTCTGTCCAGCGAAGTTGAAGTGTACAAATTTTGAAAGTACAAGCATGACCATCCCACGAACACATGGAAAAGGAAATTATTCTAACTTAAATCAATTGACCTGTATTCCAGCACTCCAACTATATGAACAGCATAAAAGATACGGAATTATAGATAAGATAAAAGAAAAGAAAGAAACATGCAATAAGATAGCATTAGAAAAAGAAAAGAAGACTTGGTCAACACAAATAGAACACTCAAATAAACAAGTACAATTATACAAGGCTTTTTGGACCTCAGTTTCCCCAACTTTACCTTTCCTTCCCCAACAATCAAGTCAACTGAGTCCCTGTCCTTCAGGACCTTCTGCTCATGCCTAATAATAGAATTTCTTTCACGACAGTAGGCATTACTACCTTCAGTTATCATTTCATATCCGTGATGCTCCAACATCAAATCATTAATAAGCATCTCATCACAGAGGGATCCACGCCTAGCATTAATTAAGTCATGCTTAGAAGTTTCTTGACAGGAAAAAGACGCCCCTTGGGCTAACACTCTATCATTTCCAAGTAGTTTATCCTCCCTCCAGTGTACTACTCTACATCGCTGACTATGGCCCCTTCTCCACAACTGAACTTGATTCTTATTTGGCAAGATACCATCTTCATTGTCATCAATATAATCATAACAACCGCATCGACCATTGTCCCTGTCTTCCTCATGACATACCATTCTCTGATGTCTATGGTATCTACCAATAAACTTGGAGTCATATGCCTCATTTCTTGATAATAAAGTGTTACACCGCCTTCTTCCATTAGGTACAGAAGGTTCTCTGTCAGTCTCCAAAGCTAGAGATCTACAATACGTGTGTCTCAGATAGTCTTCACTTTCCATTGGCCACAATCTATCCAAAGGGAAATAGGCAGGATCAACATATCTACCTTTTCTGCCAGAAACTTTGAATTCTCTCCTAATTGGTGGTAGCCATCTCTCATATGGTTCAACCAAATCCCTTTCACAACGAGTGAATGGAATGGATCTACCATACTTTTCTTTTAACCATTCATCTTCATGCTTATAATCTAATGGACAATCATCATGATCAGTTTTCTTCCTAAGCTGGAGTCCATCATATCCCCTTCTCCATTGAATATCTCTTTCTTTTGAAGCAGACGAATACCTTGAGACTAACCTCTCAGATTCCCTGTAAGTGTGAGGAAACAAACCCCGTTGAGCAGGAAGTCTTTGTCCATGATGCCAAAACCCATCCATGTTCTCTTCTTTATCCATGCCAGCTCTTCTTCCATGATAAAACTCCTTTTTCCATTTTTCCCCAGCAAACTGATCCAAATCTTCTTTTAAGCTTAGATGACCTTTTGTGCGGACAGCCCGAAGATGGCTGTCAGCAAACCTTTTTTGGCCATTAACACAAGGTCCTTTCTCCTTGTAGCATGAGGAACCTTCTCTGTCATGATAACCAAGATCTTGCAGTCTTTCTTTCTGTCTGCTACAATCAGATGAGTAATCTTTATCACAGAGTTTCTGTGCATTTGATGAAGGGGGAGCTGTATAACAGTTTTCAGGATATATCTTCTGATCAGCAATACCGTGAGGTCGACCACGGTGATGCTTCCTTTCTTCCTCAGCAGGATTTTTACATCTTTGATATCTTTTTCTATCACACTCAGCATCTGATATTAGAGAAATGTCATCATCACTTTCATGCAAGATCCTCTGTTTCACAAGAGGTTGGTGTCTCCAGCTCTCATGCTTTTGCTTGTCTTTGAGGGGACATGAATGTATTGAATAACCTTCTCCATCATCTGATTTTGTTTTGCTGCCATCAATTCTGGAACTTTTATGATAAGATGCAACAGACTTCTGCAATTCAGAGCCATAATCTAGTGATTGCCTTCTTAATGGACTTGGACCTTCAGTGGAAACAGCATGAACACTATCTTTGGATCTTTCTTCAGAATTGCTTTCGGAAAAGGAAACTGTAGGACTAAAATGACTCCGATCGTCAAATGATGGTCCTGGTTCAATCATGCAAGGATCTGACTGGTAAGTATTTCTGCAAGCCACTTCATTTTCCTTATATGTTGTTTCCATTGATTCAGCAATTCCTTCTGATATGCAAACATCCATATTTGGATGACAACCCCCATTCATATCAGAGAGCTTGTCATTTTTGTGATTATTAGTCTCTAGTGAAGTTTGATTAGATGCAGTTATTGGCTGCAAAGACCTAATCACATTAAAACAAGAAATTTTATCTTGTCAGTGGTTTATGGGAAAAAAATAAGCTTATTCTAATATAATATTAAACTAACCTAGCATGACTATGCAGCCTATGTATTATAAAAGGTGATAAATACAGATGAAGCCAACAATAAACCTTTTATGCAAGCATTAAATTAATACCAGTATCCCCTTTTTATTTATCTACAGAAGTGTTCATGGAATCCTTCAATTTTTTTTTTTTTTGAGTGGGGTGGGAGGGCGGGGTGCGCTGAGAATCCTTTAATTCTAATACTTCAAATCAGATCAATCTAACAGTACACCCATGTTAGAAACCAGAAGCTCCAACAAGGGACATCCAGAGCAAATCAACCATGTGCAGAGCTCAACAGACGGATCTATTAAGCTTCAAATATCTAACTAATCACATTAATAATATGGAAAACTATGTTTCAAGAACACAATGGATTCAGACCTCAAAGGAGAAGACAGGGATGCACTTCTGACCCTTGCACAATGCTCTCCAGACAGGTCATCACTGCTAGCACTAACAGAAAAGCAAACATCTCTGTCATCCTCCGCATCCAACTTCCCAGATTCTGACACTTCACACTTTCTACCATGACCTAGTTCCTCCATTGCAGACTCAGAGGAATCCACAGTGGAATCCTGCACAGTTATCTGGCCCCACCCATGGAATTAGAAATGATACAAAGGAATACAATATGTAAAAATTATGCCTGTAAAGACTACAGTTAACAGCAAACCTGTATAATAACATCAGAATCCTGAAAACGTGGACGCCTTAGATCCATGGATGGTTGGCGTTCATTGATGCTGTCTTCGACCTGAATTGCTCTTCCTTTTGGCTGAAATAATAAGCCACTACATAATTAAACTGAGCAATATGCTTGTCAACACTGATGGAAATAGAGAATACAGATCATATCAGATACTGAAGGTTTAGCATACCAATTCCAAGGGCATCTCTCCTCTATCAGCACATTTAGATGATGGTTCAACTTTAGATACATCCTCAGTCATAGCTTCCTGGGTTGCTGTCTGAAGCCCAGCCTCAGCTTCATAAGCCTATTGCCATACAAGAAAAAAAGTTGGAAATCACAGAAAACTGAGATAGTTTTACAATTCATTATCTAAAAAAATCAAGCATCTACCATGAAGATTAAAATAACCAACCTGATCAAGTTTTGAAGAATAATAAACAGGAATCCTAGCCTGCCTGAATGACCGTTGCTGAAATTTCTCCTGTAATGCATCTCAGTAAAAGGTTTATGGTAAGCCAGTGATCTCTAAAAAAAGGAAAAAAGCAGCTGCAGGGAATTATATATATAAAAAAAAAGCAGCAAGATGGCAACAAGCTACAACCTCCAGCTAAATAGCTGTAGCATCAGTGGTATAGTAGTGACAACCATATGCATATGACAGAAGACCAAAGCGAGGTATTCTGGAGTGCAACTGGAAATTCATCATAAGGTGAAATACGATAGGCAATACCACAACTTACCAGGGAGTTACAGTACCGTCTCCAACTGTCCTCATTGAAACCAAAATTGAAGAAATGTGCTATATCTACGCCAGGATGCCTCCAAGGTTTCTCCTCAAATGCATCAATATTCACATCCAATATTGTCCTGAAAGAAATTAAGCCCTAAGGAATAGTCTAAGGGGTACGTTTAAGTGGAAGAAACAGAGTTATCTTGCATGCAATAACAGGGTCAATAATTCACCATTAGGTTCAACATAATCAAAGATTACAGTATCATCTACTAACCTATACCATGGAAGAGAAAAACCTTATCCAAATTGATGTGGTAATGAATTCGCGGTTGCATGTCTATTAGCAACCTGAACCAAGCTTCCACCCTTTTTCTGGCTGTAAACATCATCTTCCCGATCAGCTCTTGCCGACATAGAAGAGAATGATGAAACACCAGTACATCCAGTAACTCTCACTTTACTTGGAAATGGTGATCCATGAGGTCTCACATACTACCAAATAACAATTTAAAACAAAAATCAACACAAATCATGAAAAATAATAATAAAAAAGGTACACCACTTCGCTACAATTAAGGATCAAAACTCAAAGATAATAAATATTTATACTTCTCTGTTAAGAAAGAACTCACTTTCTCCATCTAAAAGCTAAAATACTACTAGTAACATGTACATACAACGGAAACATAGATAAAAAAAACTACCACTTTAAGTACAATTATTAGCAAAAAGACACTACCTTGAAGAGCGAAAACTGCGTTTTAGCTCCAGTCCCTCTTTCTGCACCATTTCCACTACAATTCAGCTCCGACCCATCACCAACCGGTTCCACCCGCCTTGAAATCTTATCCGACCCAGTTCCCTCCACACCAAAACCGCTATCTTCATCCTCCTCATAGCCACCACCGTGACTCCTCGCACCGGTAACCCGAAACTTCTCGCAGTCATCATCGTTCAACACAATGTTCAAATCGTCCTCGCTGTCACTATCTTCCATAACTGAACCGGGGTCGAATTTCTCATCCCCGTCAGTGCTTTCGGCGCCATTGCCACGGCCATTGTCTTCTGGTTCAATGTACAATGCGTCGATTGCTGAGCTAGCTTGGATTACAACGTCGGCGTATAAGTCAGCAAAATCATCATCCATCGAATCCATTTTTTTGGGTGCAAAAGCTAGTCTAACATTACAGTCATAGACTAGAGATAATTCGATTACGTTATACTCAAAAATGGGATTAAACGAAATGACGAAGGGACAACAAGAAATACAAGTAAACATAAGAAGCGGAAAAACCCTGTATCAGAATCTAAAACCCTGCAGAAGCCATTACCAGAATTGGATAGGCTATTGAATTTGGGCCTTGGCAAGGCGAGAGTGTGTTGTTTTGGGCCTTTCTGAGCCTATAGTGATTGTGACGACGTTGGATTGGAGGCCAATTTATGAACCTGTGTTGATGAGTGGCTCATTCATGACCTCCATTTGGGCTCAGTGTAGACCTCTTCCTTTTCCTTGGTTTAGGGCTTTCCTTTTTTGTTCTCTTCTTCGACTCGATAGTTTCAGGGGACCTCCTTGGAAGGTAAGATTAAGAAAATTTTTAACCGGACGTTTGGTATCCGGAGCATTGATAATATTTTTGGGAATTTACTAAGTGAAAATATGTTAATTACGTTTGGTGTGATACATTTCTAATAATGTAATCTTATCACGAGGATCTAATTCTCATTAAATTGGAAAGAAGAAAATTTAAAAGGGTTCGATAATTGAATTATTTGAACAACCATACAGCATGATTAACTATAGGAAGGTTGTTGGCCAATTTTGAGCTAAAAATGAACTTAAGAAGCAATAGAAGTTGCAATCTTTTATGAACAAAAGAATGTTATTTGTCACTGCCGGATATTCTATTGAGAAACTGGTTTGTATAAATCAACTCTCTTCTTCTGGATGAGATAGAACACTGTTGCTGCCATTATCAAACTGCCGAAAAGCAGTGCACCTGTCAAAGGGTATCAAAATCAGTAACATCGTTTAGCTATTGTAGTCATTGAGTTGCAGTATTTGTAATGAGAAATGCTCACCTATGGCTGTGTAATTTGGTCCGAACTTGATTAAATGTTTACCTGTGATCAATTCTCACCATTGTTACACGACAAAGAAAAGAAGAAGATGATCAATTTTTGTACTAATGGATGATTTGTCGACTATGATCTTATTCGGCAAACAAAGGGGAACGAACGGCAACTTACCATTGTCATGGCAGTTAATTGAATGCTTTCCATCATGGCAATGGAAGAAGAAATTCTTGTGCAGGTCATTGCTGCCGATCATGTATCCACACAAGCCTCCAGTGGCTTCACATGATCGACAAGCAACATCTGGCTGCAGCCATGTTAACTCAAATCCTTGTTGCAAAGCTCCTGCAAAAACATTGCTTAAAGCTCCATGGACTGCCTTCTCAATCACCGGGACACTCGCTGTTGATTCGCAATAGTTGTACCAATCGAACTCTGGGATTGCTTCCTCGATGAACACGTACGATTTCTTGGCATTGTATTGCAGGCAAGCTATGAAAGGAAGTGATGGAGGAAACAGCGTACAGTTGTAAAAGAAACGTAGCACCTTAGTGTGCAAAACACTATAGTTAAACAAGGAAAAAGCTGGCAACGCAAAATCCTAATGTAAACCAGGGCATGTTACAACATCTTTGGGATCAAAACGAGACATAACAACAGAATTCTCGGATGGATTTATCGATCTAATGTGATAGATCTTGTCTGAAAGATGGAGCACTGGATTTTGGCCATGGCATGAAACGTTGAAGCCTGGATAACCGCAATGCTCCAACAGCTGGTTTTGATGCCAAAACGGATAGCTAATGGTGAAGCCATTAGCACAGTTGAAAGAAGGGCATAAGGTATTGGACGTTTGCAAAGAATTGGCATTGATAATTGTACTAAGATGGTTAATCAAGCAAAGAAAGAAGAAGAGGCTGCTGCCTGGAGAGACCATGAAGAATTAATTAGCAAGAAAATGAGCATCTACTATACATATGGAAATTAATGGCAAGTGAGCTGGGAGGTCCATTTCACATTGTAGGTTCCTATAGTATTATATCTTGTTTTCGGTGTAAGTTGTTGAAGTAAGAAGATGGTCCAAAATTGAAGCCAGCGAGGTAAGTAGGGAGATGCATGGGATAATGAAAGTGTTGGAATAAATTTAAGATGATAAGTTCTGTAATTCAATTTAAACTTTCATCCCTTCTTTAATTAATCCCTTTGCTTATCAGTTACCAGCAATCAATGAAGTTCTACACATTTCCTAGCTAGTTTATCTTTCTTTTGGCATCTCTCCTAACTGGAAGCAACAGAGCTCTCCACTCTATATTTTGCAGTATGCCCATTGATTAAATATCTAGATTTTATATGATTTAATATTAATTCTTTATTCTTAGGTCCTAAACAAGTACGTGACAATTTTTTCATACATTTTTGAGTAATTAAAAAAATTCCAAATAGTTCTAGTAGGAACTAGTTGGAAGCCAAATGGACCGTACGACTTGTCCAGTTTTGTCGGCTCTTTGCGAGCCCCAAATCCGCAAACCAAGGACACGGACCAGTTGCAGTAAGCCGCCGCGGAGCCCGCGCTGCTACCGCTCTTCTACAATTTCAGTTAAGCAGCTAGAGAAACGCCTTTTGGAACAAAAGAACCTTGAGTTGTTCCATCGACTTGACCTGTCCGAACCATGCCTCCCCCATAGTTGAATTTTCTCTTAATCGGCCATGAATTTTCGAGAAAAGCCCTGACAAGTTAAAGATGCTGAGATTTCGAGCGAGCGCTAATAGTTAAGTGAATGGAAACATTGTTGTCATTTCAACTGCGGTGGTCGGTGTTTTCGTACCAGGTAAGCAGGGGCGCAGGCTTGAGCTTGATGCATGGTAACGACACCTGCATTTGCATGCGCGTGGAAACTGGACACTAGGCTTCACTTGCAGCACGTGACATGGCATGCCATGGTGTACCAAAAGGAGAGACATTGTTCTTCTCCACAGTTGCTGGACGATCTACGATGAAGGTTATTTAACAGAAAACCTCAACAAGATCAATCAGTGTTGTCTCTGGTTGCCCATTTTGTGTTTGGTTAAAAAAGTCAAATTACGTTACAGCATTGCCCCATTTTTTTGTACTTGATGGGAGTATCTATGAAGTAGCATAGAGTATAGGGCGGCTTAGGTTCTTAGGATATAGACAGAATGCATGTTATTTTAGCCTGATCTGACTTAAAAGCTCAAGCAAATGCACGTGACCTTGATAACTAGCAAACTACCAATGCAGAAACTTGACACAGTTCTCTCTGTTAGTGGTATTCACTCAATGATCTATCCTTACAAGCTCTTGCTTTAGGAGTGAAATGTGAACTGGGCAACAATCAACCATGACTTTTAAGTATCTGCAGAACTTAAACCCCCCTCACATGGCTCCGTAACTAGCTGTAGAAAAGGAAAAAAAGAGCGTAATCTCTCTCCATTTCTCTTCGAATCCTAGGCCGACTAGGTGTTGTTTCCATTTTAAGACAAATGTAGAAACCAAACAGAATGTGAACCTTACCTTTTGGTAAGGTCTGAGAGTCTGCTGATATTTTGCATTTGAGAGAAATTTCAGAGTAGAGACACCATGTTATCTATTTCTGATTCTAAATGTAGGAAAAACGCGTCTTGTCTTTTGGTGCAATTAATTGACACCTTAATGGCAATACAATTTTTTTACTCTGATATGATATGACCAAAATGTTTCTTCACACCATACTGGCTTTCTCAATATTAATTAACACTTGTTCAGGGTCCACTGTGATATTAGCCTCGAAGAACACACATCTGTAGCACTCAAACTTCGAAGAAAACCAGAATAAAAGTATGTGAGAGGACGAAGAGTGTGCATGTAAGATTGGGTTGTTGTCAAAAACGTAACATTCCTGTACATATAGTTGATTATAGATGCGCAGATGCACGTGCAAATGGTGTAGATAAGAAGTTTACTTGATGTGTTCATGATGAATAACTCATTCCTTATGATGGGTTTGTTTTTTATTTAAAAAATAAATACTTCTATGATATTGGTCGAAGTCGTGGTATAGGCTTCCATAAAAATGGAAAAGTTTCATTGTTTTGATGGGATGGGATAGGACACAGGAGGCTAGCTATTCCTTCAAGTTTCTCTTTTAGTTAAGCAGGTTCTCCAAGCCATGAGGCTACTGCCAATTGCTCCCTGCAACTTTCTTTAAGAGCTCAGGAGTCAGGACTTGAGTTTTTGTCTTTAGTAAAGATGCTGCTTCTTCCCCTGCCTGCAATTAGAGAAAGGAATAGAGTAAAAGGCAGAAACTAGAAACAGCATGAGAGAGAGAGAGAGAGAGTGAGAGGGGTTGAAATTATAGAAAAAATCAACACAACTTGGCACTTGCAAAGGAGTAATAGACACAGGAAATTAGCTTTTTGACCAACAAATGGTTTTCAATGCCATGGATAGATCAACAGGAAGGAACAATACTACCATGGGATATGATGTTTACATGTCAGCTAACCTATGCCATGTCCCATATTTAAACATCGTATTTTTGATAGAGTAGTGATCAACTCACCCCTCACCCTTCCCTTGTATCTCGCTCTTTCAACCATCATAAAATTTAACAAGAGAAGCTTATCTTAATCTATGTGATGTTTTGAGCAATGCTAATGGGAAATCACCGTTGCTATTGTTTATAATCTTTTAAAGGGCTGTTAGAAAGAAAGTGGAGGGTGTCCTCTCCTTGATATAATGACCGTACTTCACTCGTTAAGAACCCATATAACACCAGTCAAGTAGCTAGGCGTCACCCCTCATTTCCCCAATCCGACCTTATAAAACTTCACAATCTCTCTTCTCTCTCACGATTGTAGAGCACTTGACTAAAAGGCATAGTAGCAGGCAAGCTGCTGAACTGTTTCATTTCATCTTAGTTTTCATCTCACAAGAAACATCATGAGCTCTAGTCATATGTGGATTTTCCAGCTGGTGATGCTCCTAATTCTATTCTGTGATCTTGAAATGCATGCAGGTAGCGTTATTTTTTGTCTTGAAATCCGCTCTTTAAGTCTTTGAATCTTCTCTTTTAGCATTGAACTTTGTCATTTTGTTATCAAAATCTTGGAGTTCTTATTACCATTTTTGGCAGAATCGTCCAAGAAATTTCTGAATTCAACTTGTGGTGATAACTGCCAGTTAACAAGAGTTAACACGAGACCACAGCAGGCATTTTCAAGTCAAAGAAAGCTTTTGGTGCGGGGTAAACATGCTGTTGCTCTATCTCATGCTCCTGTGCTTTAATTTGTACCTTCAGTGTTAAGTTAAACATCCATATATTTTCAACAGGAAGTTGCAGTGAGAGAGATATAAGCATCTCGCAAAGCAAGGATTCCACATCTGGGATCCCACAATACATTGTGCAGATTGTCAACACCTGTGTCTCTGGTTGTCCTCCCTCAGACATCCATCTCCACTGCGGTTGGTTTGCCTCCGCAAGAATGGTAATCCCGAGAACTTTCAAGAGGGTCTCTTATGATGATTGCTTGGTGAATGGAGGAACACCTTTGAAGACCAACCAAGCCATCAGATTCACTTACTCCAACTCCTTCATGTACCCTCTTTCACTGAAGTCTGCTAAGTTCTGCTGAGCTCTACCGGTGAAGAAATTCTGTACAAAAGAGGTATGTAGTAGGATTGTAGGTAATATCGCCATGACTGAGATATCCAAACCGGACCAGAAGCCACATCCAATCAAAAGCACAAAATCCACGCAGCTGAGAAGAAGAAAAAGCATGCATGGGTCTCATCTTTCCTACAGCCTAGTATGTAGCTCATCGAACGTATAGATTCCCTCTTAGGACTTGCTACTCACTTTTGACTTTTGTAGCAATGGATAACGTAGTGAGTCATGTAATTTTGTCATCCCCAAAAGGTTGAAGAATTTCATTGTTCTGGAATTAAAATACTTTTCGTGTCAAAAGCTACTGTTTCTCTAGTTGCATGGAGTAAAGCAGTGTCTGGAACTCAGTGCTTCCTTAGCAGAGTGTATAGTCTCATTCCAGTCTCTCCTTTTTCTTCTTTTCCTCCAAAATTAGGAAAGGGAGTTGCGGTTTCATTTTTGCCTTTTGTGTATCTAGACCAGAGCTGACGTTGTCGGGTCTCCTTTCGAAGGTTGATGGTAACTATTCAGAGAGTGGTAGCAGAGGCTTGGTTTGAGAAAGAGAAAAATGACAAAAAGTTTCGACTGTGGAAAAGAAGAAAAAGCTCTGAGATGGCATTTTCACTGCCTCCTTGTGACTCAAAAATACCCAGGAGATTTCCACAGCTACAATTACTATTCTCGAGCAGTGAGCCCTGTGACCTTTGTAAACATATTTCCATTCATATTGTAGTTGACTACGCAGAAACTAGCTAGTGAGGAGTGACCTTCTTTTTCCTGCTGCTTTGAATGTAATCCAATAAGCCCTGGATGATCCATTGATGGATTACAATTCCAATCCGGTTTATATGAGATTAAAACACCCTGTTTAACGTGCTCGGCGTGACACAACAAGCCGGTTGAAATATTAGCCCAATATCATCAAGAAGTAATCTGTTTAGGCACGTAAAATTGGAAGTTCTTTGTTATGGATGTTCATCACACTCACTGATCAGTTTCCATCTCGTTCCTGGCAGCTCCAGGAATGAATCAATCATGCAATTGACATCATAAACCCCAGAAAAGTTACAATCAAGGTTAGAACTCGTTACATTGTTTAATGAATATCTCATGTCTAAAGATGAAAGTATAGTTTAAAATTTCTGTTTTAAGGTCGTGAAACATCAGAAGGCATCAGATTCATAATCAGGAACGTTGAGTGGAAGACAGATAGGATTGAACAAAAAAGAACCCGGTGTAGTTCTTCTACCCTTCAATGTACATATGAAAGAGAACATGTTGTCTAAGGGGAAAAGTTCAATATCTGAATCTGAGAGCCCGGTGGAGTTAGATCAATGAAATTTATCATAGAACAAACCCGACAAAATTTTGGAGGTTCAAATAACCAATCTGCAGCTCCAGGGGAACATAGCATTATCTTGCTTCGGGATTCACCAACTCTGAGAAAACAGCATTTTTGTTTAGGTCATCAACTTCCTTGTTTGCCATCTCCTCCTCAATGCCAAGCAGTGCTGTATGTGTAGCATAAGCGTCATTGGCCTTGTTTTCTGCCACCACCACCCGGCCAGGATTTTCCTCCAATTGGAGAGAGAATTCAAGGTTCCATAGCACATCACCCATTGAAGGCCGATCAATCCCATGCTCGGATAGACACTTCTCTGCTGTCTCCGCGAATTTCTTAAGGCATTCAGGATTGATCTTTCCTGTAAGATGTGGATCAATAATTTCATGGAGAGTTCCCTTCCTTTGGCAGTGTAGAGCCCAATCAGCCAGACTAACTCGTTCCTTAGGCAAGTTCGCATTCAAAGCCGGCCTTGCGCACAACACTTCAAAAAGGACTACCCCAAAGGAGTAAACATCAGATTTTTCAGTCAATTGTTGCCTGCGGAAGTATTCGGGGTCCAAGTAGCCAAAACTACCTTTCACCATTGTACTAACATGACCTTCGTTAAGATTAGGACCTGTTTTCGACAGTCCGAAATCTGAAACTTTTGCCACCCAATTCTCATCCAATAAAATGTTTGTAGTTTTAACATCTCTGTGAATGATTGTGTACCTGGCGCCAGTGTGAAGATAGTGAAGTCCCCTTGCAGCTCCAATGCATATTTCCAATCTTTGCTTCCATGACAAGGGAGGTTTATTGCTCTTATACAGATGCTCCCTCAAAGTCCCATTAGCCATGTAATCATATACCAGAATCATCTCTCCATCTTCTTCACAAAACCCTATCAATGAGACTAAATGTCGGTGTCTCAGCTTTGATAGCATCTCGATTTCAGTCTGAAATTCATGAACTCCTTGTTCAGAAGAAGGGTTTGATCTTTTTATAGCAACTTCTGTTCCTCCATCTATGGTGCCCTTATAAACCTTGCCAAACCCTCCAACACCAATAACCTTTGATTCATTGAAGTTCTTGGTGCCATGTTTAATCTCCCATAAGGAGAAATGCCTGCACAGTCCGGCTGCAAGACTTGAAAGATGGCTACTTGCATTGCTTTTCCCTGATATTGTTGATTTGCTTGTTGTGTTGGAATGGCTATAAAGCGGCAACCAATTGCCACTTTTAGCGTGAATCCCACCAACATTGTTCTTCTTTGTGTGGACAAAAATGGCTATAGCAACCGCTAAAGCACAGCCAGCAAGCCCTCCTGCAACCCCACCAACCAAAGAGCCAAACTTAGATCCTGATGAAGAGAATTTTTTCTCTGCTGCTTCTGCCTCAACAAGCATTTCTGATGGAACAGGATTCGGGCCAGCCAAATTTGCATTTGTGTCATTAACTTTGAAAATCTCCAATCCATTAAGAATTGCATCATAGTATTCAGGCTTCATGGATACAGTAGGATGCAATGCCACCCATATCTCATCATCTCCGGATTGATCGGTAACATAGGCTGCATAATCCTTATAAACTGGCATTCCTCGAGATCCTGCCCAGCCAATAACATCAGCTCCACTCTGTGCTGTTTGGTTGTTAACAAAAATATCAAACACTCTTTGGTTAATTTTGGTAAGCTGATACTCACAAAAATGTAACCTAACAACATATGTAAAATTTATATCAATCTGAAAAACCCAAGTGAGATTATAATTTTGATTAACTTTCGGATCCGGGCCCATTGTTCTTGCAGTACTGTACACATTCAAAGGTGCAATATCTTCTGTTACATCTTTAGAATATTGAATTCTAACATTTTTACCCGCCTCGGAGGTGACACCAATTGCAGCACCAAACAGATATGGTGAATCATCGTACCATGTTCGTGCAAGCCCGGAGTCGTTGTTTGGAGCAATGGACTGTCCACCCACATTTAACCTATACATTGTTTGCAAAGAGGAGCTTTGAACATCAACAGATTGGTCGCTGTATCCGACCAAAGCTGCAGGCTGTTGGAATATATCAGGCATTGGAATCACCTCAATGCCATTGATAAAAGCGTACGATCCACTTTGTTCTGTAGAGGGGGTAATTGTGACATTGAGATCACCGGATTCGACAGGCGTTAGAGAGAATTCTCGAGCAATATAGGCCTGTGTAAGAGCTTTTGCCGTGATGGAGGCGCTGAAGTTTTTAAGAAGCGTGAAGCCATTCGCGACGACATAAAAACACCCTTTGGATGGATCAAGATTATTATAAGTAGAGGGATAAAAATAGAGCCTGAGCCAAAGGCGGGTCTTTGGTGAAACAGAGAACTTGTACGATGTTGTTGACGTGAAAATCCTTGCATTCATGTATGGGACTGTCGATGGCAGGGAAGGGTCTTGGTACAGAGCCGTAACTATTTCCGAATTATCAGAAGAGGCAAGAAACTTTGTGTCAGGAGTCCATTTTCGTCCATCTGCATCGGTTTCATCACCTGATGCACCACAAGAAAGGATATAGGAGAAGTTTGATTCAGAGCTTCCGCTAAGAACAAGAATCGAGTTCATGGTAAAAGGAAAGAAAAGAACAAAAACTATGATTTGGCATGCGGATTTCATCTCTCGAAAGAAAAATCCTTTCGAAATATTTGACAGAAAAAGCAAGAAATGAGAAGAGACAGGCAAAGGAATATACAAGAGACAAAAGAACATAAACAGAGTACAGGAAAACAGGGGAGCAAAGAAAATGAGATGAGGTTTCCTGTACAATTATCAAAAAATGATCGTAGAAGATTCAGTAAACGGAATGCAGTGATATTAAAAATCCTTTTATTTCACCAAATCTATAGATTTACAGATTTAGATGGAATTTTTCAGGTGGGAAATCAAGAGATAGAGAAGAGATGAAGGAGCAGCAATTTCTTACTATTTTTTTCTCGGTGTTCTTTTTGGGTGTTATTTGCTTTCCGGAGACGTTAGGATTAGGAGTGGTGATTTTAGAGTATATCATAAATAGAGAAACGGCAAATTTACACTTGCTGCGTTGACGACCTTTTTATAGATGGGCACTTGGCGTTTCTTGAGCTTTGGGCTTTGAAATTTCCAAATCTCACCATGTCCAAATCTGCCTAGCTTTTCCATGAAATCTTCCATTTTGGTTTTTGCCATATTGCTTTCCCAGACGGGAACATATCAAAGAGGTCTAATACCCTTTCATGCATGAAAGTTAGTAATATAAACAATTCATGTTTACAATGAGGAAAAGATGCATTCTTGTTGTATAAGATAAAACATTTCTGTCAGGTGATACATGGAAGAGTGTTGAAAGCTCACTTGCACTCGGCACATTCAGAGTAGATGTTCTTTTCCTTCTTCATATAGTAATAGGACCTACTTCATAGTTAAAACTGTAATGGTAAATGTGCAAAATGAATGTATATTCAATTATATACGGTTTTAAGTATTTGGGTATTTTTTTTGTTTGCGTTATTATGCATTCATTGACTTCTGAAACTCTGTCCTCTTGCCATGTTTGCAGCTGGAAATGATGCTTGTGAGGTGAAAATGGACCTGAATATGTACGTGTGAGTTTTGGGTTTGTCTTGGGCCAACCTTCGCTTTCCCAGTACGAAAAGACTGAGCTTAGTATTAGGCCTAATTGACCCAAAAACTAGAAAAATATCATGCAGCCTTACCGCTAGATTCAGTTAAAAGAGTCATCCATTCAACCGTTGCTCTGTTCTATCTTTGCCCGCTCCGCTGCCATGGCTTGGAGCTTCTTCTGCAGTTCTGCAATTTGCCCTCAACATCAGGGTCTTCTCTTCTTTCCTCCCTTTGTTTTTATAGTTTGAAGAGAAACTCCTTTGGTCTTTTTCTTCCGTTTCTCACCCCCCTAGTCTGTTCTCTTACTGCAGTGAACGTGACATTTGGGTGCAAAAACTCTCTTCAGAACGTGAAAAACCTCATCAAATCAATTGGGATTCGTTCAAAATCGTGCTCTCCGAATGAATCTCTCCGAAAGGGAAACTGGGTCAAGCTCATATGTGGTGCTAGCTTTGAGGTTTCTAAGATTCTAAACCTTCCTTAACAGCCCCCTTCCCCGGACCATTTCATCTCTTGTTAAACTAACATTCACTCTCTTTCTTTTTCTAGGATGTAGTCGATATCAGGAATCTCTCCCTTGTTTACACTCTAGCTGGAGGTAAGAAACTCTAGAGGCGAAGTTAATTATATGTTTCCGGGACTTAGTAGGCAACTACTTCTAACTCGTGTAAATGTGAGTTTGTTATGAATACTTAACTTAAGAATTATAGGAAAAAAAAAAAACAAATCTTGAATAGTTCAATTTTGATGCATGATCTTTCAGTTGATTGCATTGATTGTGCTGCGGATCCATCCGTAGTCAGTGCTGTAAATGAAGGCATTGAAACAGCCAGGGAGATTGTACCTATCAGAAGGCCTTGGGTGATGATAAGTGTTAACGATGATGAAGATCTTCATTTCCGTAAAGCCGGTGGATCTCCATTCCTTTCCCTGAATGTTTGATATAGTTTTGTAGTAGTGGGCTGCCCCTTTCAGCTAATCTTTGTACTTTCTTGTTAGAATTTGATCCGAAGAATTGTCCATCCGACTGCTCAAGGCCTTGTGAGATTGTTTGTCCTGCTAATGCTATATTCTTTGAGAGAGAAACAGCAACAGTGGAAGTTCCCTTTGGTACAAATCGAACTGGTGAATCAAAGGTTTTTTCTTTTTTAAACTTAATTCATTTTGTGGTTTCTACAAATAAGCCCTCAGAAATGCAAATGTATGCTTTTGTTAGATGCAGGGCGGAGTCATGACAGAACGCTGCTATGGTTGTGGCCGTTGTTTTCCAGTTTGCCCATATGATAAAATAAGTGAGCATGCTCCTTTCTCCCTAGCATCATCTACCTCATTTTCCCTTTTTTTCTGCTACTGATAGCCTTTATCCTTTATCAAATTCGTAAATTATTAGTTAATCCTGTCATGTGTTTTATTCAGATTTCTATTGCCTAATCTTAACTTCTTCAAACTGATTCAGGAGAGGTTACATATGTAAGAGATGCTATGGCTGCAGCTGAACTCCTTAAAATGAAGGATGTTGATGCTGTAGAGATACATACAAGTGGAAGGTACAAATTTCATGGAAAACAAGCATAGTTTATATTTGGTTTATTGAATTTGATTCAAGTGCGAGCAATTACAGGTTGTGTGAGCAAAAACACACTGATGTTTTGCAGGCAGACACATCTCTTCGGAGAACTTTGGGATGAATTGAGGGATGCAATCAGATATCTGAGATTAGTAGCAGTAAGTGGAGAACCATTTGCTATTGTGACTGAATATGTCTTTACAATGAAATCATTGGGATGATAATCCAGCTGTCAGATTATTGGTTTCATTACTGCCTCCAGGTCAGCTTACCTGATAATGGGGATGCTACTATTTCTTCAATGAATGAAATGTATGCTATCATGGAACCGCATCTATCTTGCTTCAACCTATGGCAGGTATGGCCTATTTCTTAAAACCTGATAGAATTTCTTTTGCCCGATTTGAGTGATAATTACCACCGTATCAGGTAGCTTCTTACTGTTATTGTCCATTTGATCTAACATGGATGAACTACACAGTTGGATGGCCGTCCAATGAGTGGAGATATCGGGCGAGGTGCTACAAGAGAATCAATCGCTTTTGCTGTTCGTTTGGCTGCTTCAAGAGAAAGACCTCCTGGTAAGTATGAACAGTTAGGTTCAAGTTACCCCCTAGGTGCACTGCTAACTCTCCCTCATTTACATAGGTTTTCTGCAGTTAGCAGGTGGAACTAATGCTCATACAGTTGACGGTCTGAAGAAAAGGGGACTTTTTCAAACACACATCACTTGTAATTCATCCCTATTTTTCTTCTTTTTGAACACACATTCTTCCAGGGAACTGATGGGGATTAAATTATACAGCTGGTGCACCTAAACAACTGCATTCTTTGATTGGAGGAATAGCATATGGTGGTTATGCTCGGAAGGTAGGCCTTATTTTCCATCTCAAGTCATTCGTTTTCCTCTTCTTCATTTCAGTTTACTTGTTGAAATTCTTGGCACTTTTCTCCCAAACCACCAGATTGTTGGAAGAGTCTTGAGTTCCATGCATTCCCAGCACGGTCTTACTAGCATCGAGCATCACCCTGAGCATCTGCTGGAGGCACTTAAAGAAGCCCTTTACTTGGTTGGAACTGTCAAGTCGTATAACCCCGTTGTTACGCAACAGTAGGCTGGCCTGCTTCTAACATTCAGGTACCGCTCTTTCCAAAGGCGATCCATTATGCTTGATGCCTAATTATTTCAACTCTGTTAGGAAAATCATCTGTTTCCCTTCAAAGGCAAAGCATTGATCCTGAAAGATAGATTAAGCCGAAACCATATGAACATTACCACATGAAATTTTGTCCAATTTTTTAATGTTAAATTTTACGGCAGTTTACTTTCTTAGCTATGTTCATTGTTGCTTAAAGAAATGAATAGCATATCCACATTCAGTATGATGAATCAAGGACCTTAGTAGCAAGCTACTAACATGGATACTTCCCATAAAATACAATTTACGACCTCGTCTGTTAGGAGGGGATAGTTATTCTTGTCAAGTAACTACAATCGATTTCCATAATGATAATTATTTTAAATAAAAAGAAATAGTTTAATAAGTGATTTTATTAAAATACATAAATTTGTATAATAAATTAAATTGATATAACAAATCTATACTTAATCTTAACTAAATCAAGAACCTCTGAAATACTGCTTAGAATTCCATCCTTGTGTATATATACATATACAAAAGAGACAAATACTGTTTCATTTATTGTTTATATAAAGACAAGAGAGGTGGTGTTGTTACTAAGGTTGGCAGCGAGCCTGGCGCAAGCCTGAAAAAATGGGTCGAGAAAGCTAGCCCATGCTTGACCAACTTGATGGGTTTGCTCGGTTTACCCACAAATGAATGGGCTTTGATCTCCAATTGGCCGACAACAGCAAGTCAGGAAACCGCGTAAAGAAAATCCAAATACGTTGCTTACTTCGGGGGCCGACTCACCTCCTTCACTTGTAAAACATTCCGGCATCCTAGTTTCTCAGTGTGCTCTTCGTGTGTTCCTGTCTGTTTCCAAATTTAGTTTTTCCTTTCCTTTAAATTTCTTCGCTCTTTGTTTTATTTTTCTCAACAATGGCAGACGGGAACATGAGTGCCTCTCACGTTTCGATCGTTGACATGGAAGTTCCATGCGACAAAACGTCGTCGTCTTCTTCGTCTTCGTCGTCGTCGCCTCCTATGTTCGAAATTGAGGTTAAGGCGACGTTTATCATCGTGGAGAAAAATACCGGCGCAGGAGATGAAATGTTTGTCGAGGCCGGGAGGATTATTTCTCACGTGATCCACGAGTTTCCTATGGAAGACTTGATTAACGATGGCAACGGTGCCGTCTCAGATATGCTCAACTCCATGCGCGTCCCGGTTCAGCCGTCCATGGTGGAAGAAATCGCCATCTGCGCGGTGCGCTTGGTGACGGCTGTTAGATACAGAAACAGCAAGGTTTTGAGGATGCAGGTGGAGATTGAAGCGGTTGTGGATGACGTTCCTGACTTTGGGACTGATGATGACACGGACGGTGATGATAATGATGCTGATGAAGGGCCGGTGAAGGCGGAGGAACTGGCGGAGAATGTGGGGAAGGTGGTGGTTGAGGGGTCTGGAAAGGATTGTCCAATCTGTTTGGAAGAGTTGGTAGTGGGTTTCGAAGCGGCGTGCATGCCTTGCTCGCATGTTTTTCATGATCATTGCATCGTGACTTGGCTGAAGAGGAAGAAACGCTGCCCTTGTTGCCGTTTTAAGTTGTCCGGATGAAATGAATTTTAGGGTTAGATTTTGAAAGAGAAGTTGATGAAGGAGTTTGTTATTGAAAAGCTTTTTCTGTTTTTCTTTTTCGTATGGATTTTCTTTTCCTAAAATTAATTCCTGATATTAGCACTATTTGTTTTCTTTTATCCCTGTTTGGCCGAGGTAGAAAAACTGAAAAAAACAAAACCAAACCAAACAGGTATTTAATGCAATTTAATTTTATGAATAAAATTATCATTTCATGGTAAATTAATTTATCCATTATTTGTTATTTCTTTCATTTACAGTTTTAATGTATACAAATATCAAGTCCATCAATAGTTTTCCCAATTTTCTTCACCAAATTGAGATTTTTTTTTTCAAATAAGAGAGATTCGAACTTATTTCTTTTAAAGAAAGAAATTATATATTAATTAATGAGTTAAATACTTAATTGTAAATTGAGAATTTTTTAAAGCAGCATAAAATAAATAAAACAACAAAAATTAAAATCTGCTGACAAGAGAAAAGGAAAAGAAATAAAAAATTAAAGAGAGAATCTAGCTAGCTTATAATTTAAAAATTAAGGACCTGGGGATGAATGAGTATGCTAACCTTTTTTATTAAAAATAATTTAACTGAATTTGTTTAATTTTTTATTGAATTTTAAGTAATTAATTCTTTGTATTTTGTTTGGGAACAAGAATCATATTAAACTGATGGAGAAATGTATAATTTGCTTAATATTTAACCTCTCTTTTATAGTTACTATTAATCTCTCTTCTTTTAACTTGTTCAATGTGAAATTTTAATAAAAATGATTGGATTTATATTTAATATATTGTTTGTATATAATATTTATATATTATTATTAAATTTAATATTGTAATATCGTAAATAAATAATTCAAAAATTAATATTTTTTATAAATAAATATTTGTAATTTTAAGCTTTGATCTTAACATAATCCAGCTGTGGATTGGAATCCACAGCTGCTCTCGGGAGTAAGCTACCCTTGTTTATGGATAAGCTTTAAGCAGAAACCGAAGTCAGGCTCCAACTCGACAGGCAGTTATACGGCCGGCATTGGTGGGGGCACCAGGCCCTTTCTGTAAGTTGCATGAATGGGCAACACTAGAAGGCCCAGCTACCGTAGTGAACCCACTCTCTTTAAAAAATTTACTTACTTAATACCATGGAACAGAAAAGTAATTGTAAGTTTATGTCACATTTAAAAAGAAGCCCCAATGGGCTTGCGGAGTTGACCACGTGGAGGGCAGAGAGAGTGACAGAGAGAAGATATCGACGCAAAGAGAGAGAAAGAAATGGTTGCAAAAAGGTCAGAGTTTACCACGTGGAGAACAGATGTTGAAGCAAAGAGAGGCAGTGCCAAGAGGCCTGTGTGTTGCACACGGGTCATACTCTAGTCAACTACGTAGCAAGGCCGCCGAACAATGCCCCCAGGATTGGCCAACAGCATAAAAGTCTATAAGAAAAACCCAACAACGTACAACGAACAGAAGTTTTCTTTTTGTGCCACGTCGGCAGTGCTTTGACCCGGGAAAGAGAAGTTTGATTTGTGTTGGTGTGTATCAGGCTTTGTGTGTGCAGCGTGCGTTGTAGCCTTGGTTTTCCCGTGTCTTTTGCCCGCATGTGTCCAATAGATTTTGTCCACGTGGGCATTTTCATTTTTTACGGCTATACTAAGTTGCATGCTTTCTATCAGTCTATCTTTGCTCATCGAGAATTTCATTTCGTCGACTTCTTCATACGGATGGCTCAAATGTGTGGATTCAAAATGCTTGTCGTGTATCATTTATTGGTCCTCGGTCTTCTGGTATTGGTGGGACTGTCTTTAGTTTTTCTAAAAACTCTTTCTATTCCGTATTACTCTTAGTTGGTTTTCTCTGGATTTTTCTTTCTTTAGGTCCCTGCGTTAATTTGTTTTTGGTGTTTGCTAAGACGTTAGGTGTAGTGTTTGGTAATGCTTTGGTTTTCATCCATTTGATATAGAAAAAACTAGAGTTTTAGTTTGATGATGTTATGATTGTCCACTTGATTTGTTGGGTTTTATCAGTATAGTCGAAGTGCTTTAATTTTTTGCACAAGTTCTTTGTATTCTTTATTGCTTTCGGTTTCTTTCTTTTGTTTCTTCTTTTGTTTGCTTAGTTGATGATGTTTTCGTTGTATGTTGTTGGGTTTTTCTTATAGATTTTTATTGTTTGTTTTTGTTTTTGGGTTTGTGTTATTTGGTTATCTATTCGGTGAGGTTTGTTTGGTTTTAGGCTTCGCAGAAGTTCTTTGTATTCTCTATTGTTTTCACTTGCTTTTTTTTTTTTCTTACTTTGAAGATGTTTTCGTCATAAATTTTTATTGTTTGGTTTTGTTCTTGGCTTTGTGTTATTTGGTTTTCTATTCGGTGAGGTTTCTGGTTTTTTTTTTTAAATCAATCTCTCCTCTTTGATTTTGTTCAAGTTGATGTGCATAGTCTTTGGCTGATTTTTTTCTTTGTTTGTTTAGTATAAACAATATAATTACAATAAAAATTTTGTTTGTTCGTTTGTTTGTTTAGTTTGGCAAAAACTTAAGTCATTAATTATTTTACGTTCAATGTCAGGGAAATTTAAAGGGGCCAGCCTTTCAACCAAGTGAGATACTGAAAAAAAAAATTATTTATCATTTGTTAACTTACATTAATCATATTAGTTGAAATAAATACAATTGTACTCCTAAGTTACTTTAATTTTTACTTTTTTAATAATATATATGTTCTGTTTTCACTCTATTTTTAAATAAATCAGTTGTTTGGAAGAATAAAATTTAACTATTGTGTTTACCCAATGTTTATATGATTATGTTGTAAAACTAATGTTGTGTTTTTATTATTATTTTTATCAGGTTATGTTCATTACTATTGATGGTTTCTCTCATTTATTTATTTTTTCATGTTCGTTTCATATCAGAAAAAATTTAAAAATGGTCAACTCATCAGTCAGGTGAGAATCCGTTAAATTATAGATACAATATTGTTTGAAATACACATCATTCTGCTCCTAAGTTTCTTTAATTTTTTTCTTTTTTATTAATATATATATGCCCTGTTTTCGTTTTATTTTGAATAAACACTGTGGATACTAATTTATTCTGATCATTGTTACATGATTTTTAATCTGATATGTGATTGTTATGTTTGGTTATCAATGTGGCATATATTGTTTTGTTACTGAAATTGACTGTAATAGGTTCTTCTGTTTATGTTGATGGTTAAGGTTTAAAAGTTATTATTTTAATTACTTCTACCTATGTTAAGCGTATATTTTGTACTACCCTATACTTTCTTTCATTTTTGTTTTTAGCTTTTTATACATATCATGTTTGTATTCTCTTTTCATAAAAGCAGCTTGCTTAATTGTTTATTTTTAATATTGTTATATCATTTTAAAGTATAATGTTCATTTATTATGTTTAGTTATGAACCATTTCAGCAAATGTTGCCGCCTCATCAAAGGAGATTATATTGTTGATATGAAAAATTTTATATGATTTATATTTTGCAGGTTGTCTTAAAACGTGTTTCACTGTGTACGAATACAAGCCAACCAGTGATTACGTATCGTAAAGTGTTTTAATTTATTTTCCTTATTAATTATTATATATTTGCTCTATTTCTTTTCACATTCATAAATTCACTTTCTTTACTCCATATTAATTTTCTTTTCTTATAGTTATTATATTATTTATATAGTATTGACAAAAAGATTGCTTTTATTAATATGATTTTTTTATTATATTGTCTAAATGTGTTTTGTTTAAAATTAAGTTAACTCTTTATTATAAAAAAAAAACAATTTGTACATTTAACGCTTAACTAACTCTTAAATGTCTATGCATCTATTCAGACCAATTGCAAAGCCCAGACGCAAAGCACGGACCTTTTACTAGTAATTATAATTAACTTCACTAAACATATTTGCACTTATGTTAGGAGCCTTATCTTCTTTAGATAAGGTTAGCTTAATGGATAGTGGGCCTAGATTCTAAACCTGCCTATTTTACTTATTAGAGTACTTGGTGTGATATCATAATCGAATTTAGATAATAGATTGATTATGATATTATTTTGTTATATGATCATTGCTCTCCTACGAGGTTAACATAATAGAATATACAATATTTACATTTATAAGTTCAAGACTTATCTCGTACTTATAAGGTATGAAATTTTGTAACACCGGTTAAAATTTATAATTGAAGTTTGAGTTTGAGCATGTTTTTCCAGGTTTGAAATCACCCTTTGCTTCAGGGTTCTACTCAGGTAAGATATGAATATAATTATATAAAGAATCATTTTGGCAGAATCCTAAATTCAGATCCATATCTGACTCAACCCTTCGACAGAACATATAATCTGCTAGACCGCAACAAATTCAAAACTCTTTGAACTATATGCAGCAAATTATTATTAACATGATTTGGTGGATGCCATCATTTGCCTTATCACCAAAAATCTTCTCCGATTGGTAGATTAGGTCGGAAAAATAAACCTCAGCTGAATCCAGCACTTGCTTTGGGTGTTGCTGACGTGATTTTCCTCCAGCAAACCATGCCAAAGACATTTCAAGATCGGCATCGGCAAAGTTTGGCAGTGTGTCACAAAATTCAAAACCTCATTTACTAAGCAGATTCTGTTTGAATTCGTGGCTGATCAAGAACTCTTAATCTAGTTCATGAGGATTTTAATATAAGTTTTTAAAGTGAAAGTATCTTCAAAAATCTTCACTGTAACATCACATGAAGCACAAATCTTTTCTTTATCATAGCCAGTTCTGTCAATCTTTCTGAACCCATAATTTTATTATTATTATTATTTGTACATAAAAGTCGAACTCTTTTGTTGATTTTTAGCTCAAGATAGTTGCTTGATGCCAAACATTCACAGGGGCCTGGTCACTGACCAGGTAATTCATCAGCCCTCTCCTCTGGACCTGGAGTTCAGGGTCAACTCACGACTTAAACCACATAAGGTGATTTTGTTTGTTTATACTGTTTTACCCTGTCTTCACCAAACTCTTTCCTGCTTTGTTTATTATTATAATGCAGTAAATAAATAAAAGAGTGACGAGTTTCTACAAGTT